AAAAAAAAAAAGTTCAGCCCTACAACAGCCGCACTTTCCTATTCCGGACACCCGGACACTTTCCGGCCAATCAGTGACTTGGTTATCTGTCTGCCTATGCCCGGCCCCACCAGGCCCGCTGCTTTGTCAGCATACGACTTGCCGGATTGGGAAGTACGCGAGTTGGCCAGCGTTTGGGGGTTTATCCACTTCCTTCAGCCCTACGGTTATAGTGCTTAAGCTAGTGATAGAGTTAAGGAGGCTGTATGTGTCTGCCTGATTAGACGAGGTGATGAAGGATATGATGCTATTACTCAGTACAATGCATGATACAACTAACAACCGATAGCAATGAGAAATTAACCCAGAACACCCAGACTCAATCCCCGTGCAAGTCCTAACCGCAGCATCCGCAGGATATCTTCGCCCCTTGTCTCCTCGCCCAGTCCCTTCCGCCAATCCCATCCGCGCTCGTACGCCCCGTCCTTGTCTCCCGGCCGCGGAACCAACACCCCCGAGCTACCAGCCGACGCGAGCCCAGACCCAGATCCAGACTGTGAGCGCGTCCGCGCGGACTCAAGCATGTCGTTGCCGATCAGAGAGAAGTTGCTGGAGGCTGTGGTTGCGGAGACGGATTTCTTGAGGAGGGCGCGAGGTGAGGGAGGGAGGACATATGGGTCGGAGGTTGTGCGGGAGCCAGAGCCGGTGGTGGTTGAGGAGTGGTTGTAGGCGATTAGGGTGGAGCGGAAGCATTCTTCGCACTGGGCGTAGACGCGGCTGGTTACGGATTCGAGATCCTCGACTGCGGAGAGGATGGTGAGTTGTTGTGAGGGGGTGAGGATTGGGTTGGATTCTGTGAGTGTTAGTGATGAATTCTTCTGGCGGAAAAATGGCAGACTTACCTCCAACGAAAACCAGGGACTCTCCCAGAAGCGCCAGTAATCCATCCACCTGCACCGCAGAGTCGCGCTCCGGATCATACAATCCTCCGTATATACTATCAGCAGCACTGCCAATCACCGCGACCAGCGCCTGCGCCGCCGCCCGTCGTCGCGCCAATGGCTTAAACCGGGGACGCTGACCTTCCGACAATGAAAGCGCCTCATCGCGCGTCTCGTAGAACCGGCGCAAGGTCGCGTAACCACTGAAATAGAACTGGAGAATACTGGCTGCTTCCTCATCCGACCCCGCAACCGCAGACAGACAGGTCTTTGGTTCGCGGATCAACGCTCGCAACTGCTCGTCTAGCTCTCCGGATGCAGGATACGCTCGTGATTGAACCAAGCTGTACGAGATGAGCAAGTCAACCACCGACTTAACCTTTCGTCGGCTATGCGCGCGAGCGTAGCACACCAGCGCGAGACCGTATTCATCGGACTTTTCAACAGTAAGATCGCCGTATCGCTGATCCAGTCAGTATCGTCTGTTCATATCAGAAGCAAAAATCGGCAAGCCTACCTCAGAAACTCTCCGGCCTTCATTCTCCAAGCCCAACTCCGAACAAAGAAGCACCACCTTGTCCATCTGCTCGGCCGTATCAAGCGGCAGTTTACCCAACAGCTCAGACGTTGTCTTCTGCATTTTCTCGTTATCTTCTAGCCGGCTCAGAACCTCCAGCGCTAACTCCCACCCATCCCGTAGACCGATGTCATTCTTAATAGACCGCCGCTCAAATAGTCCAGAAGCGTAAGCTTTGAGAACGTCATCTCGGCGAACAGGTGTAGCAGCGCTGGTGTCCTGACCATAGGAAAGGACCATGAGGTCGTCCTCACTCAGGCCAGGCAGCTTGCGCGCGCCATCGCCAGCGTCCATCCACCCACCGGCCGAAGCGACTTCGGCAACGGCGGACGCGATGCAAAGCGACCAGGTCTGGAGCAATCTCAGCACGCCATCCACGTTGCCCTCAAAGACGGATGCTAGTCCGACCTCAAGGCCGCTGACTGTGTTTATCCGGAAGCCAGTGGTCGGGTCATTTGTCGCGCTGCTAAGGGCCAAGTCAAGTCGACGTAAGTATGAATCCTCTGGGCTGCTGTCCTCCTCTCCATCCCACCATGCCGTAAGGCCAATCACGGCCTCGATCCAGTCTTGCGAAAGGCCCATGATCGCTCCTGGGTCGCCGAGAATTACACGATAGATCGTGCGCAGGTTCTGGTAGATAGTCCATGGGACACGACTCTCCGCCATACGCGCAGACTTGGTAAAAGAGAATCCCTGGTCGCCAGTGGTTGACTTCAATCCAAAATTAACCGCTTGGAACCGGTTCTCCACAACCGGTGGCTCCGGTGAAGTCTCATCTCCTTCGGCAAATTCCTCCAGTTCTGTCACAGCTGCAACCACCCGTTTCCTGTACACAGACCATTCCGTGCCCTTGACTTCCCAGTCCTCATGCTGGACACCTGGACAGCTGTCCAGAACCTGGAGAGCTTTGTTGATGCATTTTTGAATGTTTTGGAGCTGTGCGCCACGGTAACCAGACTGCGGTAGTCCATCCTCAAGCGCAGAGCGCGCGTAGTTGAAATCAGCAGAGCGCAGAACTGTCGACGCCTCGGCCAGACGTCCGCGCAGAACGGCAGAGGTAATCGTTTCCCAAAAGTTGGGCGACGCGGTAGGATTGGGTCCAACTTCCTCCAAAGCCCGAATATCAGCCGACTGCGAAACATGATTCGCGTTCAGCCAATCCAGGATAACCCTCGGGGTGGGCGTGAACGTGCTCTCCTCGGATCCGGCCGGTATGAGACTCTGAGGCGCAAAACGGCCAAAGGCGCCAGCGGGACTCGCCGTCTTGGTAGGGTTGACTGGAGGATGATGGAGCTGGAGCAATAGAGAGCCCAAGAAGCCGGCTTTGACAACGTTCGGGGCATTTTCTCCACGGCCAACACCGAAACCTGCCCCAGAAAATCCATTCCGCTCCGCGCACGATTTCCACGTACTCGCGAGTGTACTTGATATCTCAGACAGAGAGACGTAAAAATCCTTCCCTTGTTCCTCAGCCTGTCTGGCTTCATCATACAGACGACAGACTTCATCTTCCGTCCTCAAAATCACATCACTATGCTCATCGACGGGTGCAAGCGAAGATCTGGATGCGAAGTTGCGTATAATAGACGGTAACACGGACTCTTTCTTCGGAGGTAGCGCGGTCTTGCGCACTGGCGATTGGCTCGCCCATCGTTCATCGAGCTTGGGCCGTTTGGCGTTGGTGGGATTCGAGTAGATCGACTTTCTGTGACCAAGAGCAGTAGTAGGCCGAATCGGCTCCGTACTCATGGTAGAGTCCATGAAACTGAGTCCACCCGACTTCTTTGTCTTATCCACGTCCATAGTCTCATCTTCCCACTCATCCTCATACTCTTCCTCAGGTTCCATCTCCTGTCCCTCCTCACTCATCCACGAGGATGTAAAGCTATTTGACTGCCCGAAACTTGTCGATTCGTTAAGCCGCGAGCCATTGGTCGTGTTAAAAAACGACTGCGACTGAGCGAGGGGTTTGGCCGGCGCCGGGTCCTTCTTGCGCGGTGGCATGAAATGGTCCGACCCGGTTGACGACCCGAAGATACTGTCATTTTCGATCCCGGATTTGCCGAAAAGAGACTGAGATGAGTTCCCGAACTTCGGCGGAGCGGCTCGTGGAATAAAGGAGTTGTTGTTGGCACTTGACGGCGGAGGTCCGGATGGTGTCGTCGATGCGTTACTCAGAAAGCTGCGAGACTTGTCCGGGGTGGATGGAAAGTCCATGTCGAATGGGTCGAATGACGTTTTGAAGCTCATCTTGGATCATGCGAATAAGTCAGGGGAAAGATAGGTGTATGAACCCTGTAAACAGTTGTGAAACAATCCCAGCGAAATCTTTGGGGGCCAGCAGCTACCCCGGAGCTTCAAAGAGACACCCTGCAACAAATAAGAGTGCAGAATACCAGGGGTAAAGAGCGCAACCGATGGCAGCACAGTAGGCGACGGATAGCCGCAGGAATTAAGCTCTGTAGCTGGAATCGCCCGTCGTCGAGGTTTCTTTCTGGACTGACACTCTTCACGCTCGAAAACGCGCTTGGGCGGATGTCTTGGCGGCAGCGGTATCACGTGGTGTCATGTGATATCGAAGACCATTGTCATGTGATTCATTTGCCTTATTGGTCTACAGGACCAAATACTTGCCGTATCCATTTACGGAGTACTCCGTAGAGACATGCATGAGTTGGTTCCTCTATTTTTGCTTCCTATACGCCTTGCCTGCTGAATACGCATACATGCATCATAGCCAGCCACAGTCCCTCGTATCTGTCTGAATCACATACCCGAATGACCATCTTGAGCCTCTTCTGACTATCTAGCGCGCTTAAAGATTGGCTGAAATAATTGCCCAGAGAGTCACAAAAAGCGTGGCTTTCGAGAACTGGCATCATTTTTGCAGAACCAAGGATCGCCCTATTAAGATTTTCATAGATCTCTTATAGCGCCCCGGGCAAACGCTGAGCCCCAAAGGCTGTGAACTCGTATTTAACCACATTAGGGCGAACAGGGGAAACTCAGCCTCTCATAACGTCAAAATAAGCTGTCTTGCTGCCCAGGGTCAAGGGTATATATACTCCTTGAGTTGAATCCTTTTTACTGGATCTTTCTTGAAAACCTCGTGCAAAGCCTACTACAAAATGGCCGAAGACATCATGCAAGGCCCTCGCCTTTACCACGTTTACTCTACATTCTGGCAGAACGACTACAACATCACTGCTGCCGACAAAAGACATCTATACCATGTGGATAACTCCCTGTGGACACCAAAGAAGCCGGACCTCACTGTCCACGCCGGCACAGACAACAAAGCCCCGATCCACGCCGTCTGCAAATACTCGCATTTCTCGAGACATGCCAAATTCGGTCTGGGGGATCCCAGCCAGCCCAACCAGGTCACTTGGGAAGACCTCACCTGTCAATCTTGGACCCACGTCAGATACCGCTGGCGAATGCCGTTGAGGAACCACCCTGCATCCGAACATCACGCATTCGTTTGGAAGCGGACTTCGAGTGTCGGCGTAACCAATTCGTCGCCTTCGATTTGGGCATACGACAACTACAAGTTGGTCGATGAGCAGTCAGAACAGGTCATCGCGGTGTTCACCAGCAGCTCTCACAAGAGTGTCGATAAAGACGGCAAGCTGGAGATCTATGTGGACTACGGTCAGGAATTCGATGTACTGGTTCTTATCACTGTTATAGCTTTGATCGAGAAACACCGACGAGCGAAACAGAGCAGCGCATCCAGTGGCGGTGGTGGCGGCGGTGGCGGCGGTGGCGGCGGTGGTGGTGGAGGGTGTTAAAGCCAAAGTCATTTATTGGGAGATTGGCCATTATTATTGTTAACTATGTTTCTGTTCATGTTTTGTTTCTTTTGAGATACCATTTGCTTTAACGGAGTTGGATTGTGGTTGGTGATAGGCGACCACACATGTTTTGGAAATACCCGGAATTCTGAATTGCATCTTCACGGTTATTTCTATACTGAATATTTATTTCCATGTAACATTATTTTTTGATTGATTTTATTCGAACGCTGTCTCTGAAATCGTAAAAGTGCATTACATAATCCATCCATACCGCGGGATTTTTATCGGAACCATCACCAAGTCGCATTCATGCATTAAATTGTTCCTACTATATAGAATCGGCAGAGGGCATAGAGAATCGTTGAACCACGCCTAATGGCCCTACGACGACCTCATCGCAAGTCCCGTCACGGCTGCCTGGAGTGCAAGCGAAGGCGTGTCAAGGTATTCCTATATCCTGTCCCAGATGCAACGTCAGATGCTAATTTCTACAGTGCGACGAGGGTCGGCCAGTATGCACAAATTGCTCTAAACGCCATACAGAATGTGAATACGAAAGCTCCAGCTCACTCCGCTGGACAAATGAAGAGTCACGGCCCCGTCAAACATCTACCATATCAACCCCTGAGGGATCTCAACCAGATCCTACGTTGACGGTAGCTAACTCGTTGGGAATCGTGGGTAGGCTTGGCAAGCACGATGTGCCGGTTTTATCCGGCAGTCTCAATCTCGCCGACCTGGAGCTGATGATGCAGTGGTGTAACTCAACGTACCAGGTTTTGGCTCGAAATGAGAGCACTGGTCATGTCTGGAAGTGCTTAGTCCCCGAGGAAGCAGTATCGCATCCATTTCTCATGCATGGTATTCTGTCTCTCTCTGCGCTCGATCTGGCGCGGACACAAGACGACCATCGCCGGCCGATGTATAGTGGCCTTGCGGTAGCGCATCAGAATCAGGCACTAGCGTTGTTCCGCGAGTTACTTGGCGATATAAACGACACGAATGCAAAGGCAATTTTCTCCTTTGCGAGCGTGGTCGTGCTCTACACTTTTGCATTTCCACACGAACCAAACCTGAGCAATCCGTTTGTTTGTATCGATGATTTACTTCAAATTATTGTCTTGATACGCGGTGTGCAGCAGGTTATCAACACGGCTTCCTTATCTCTAAGAGAAAGCAATTTCAAAGCATTGGCACGTACAGAGGACTACGAGCCCGTTTTATCAAACGACGCCCGATTAGCGCTGGAAGAGCTCCTTGAAGCCAATAATACCTGTGGCGCCCAGAACGAAACCCACGACACAGAAGTTTACGAAGACACCATTGAAAAACTAACAGAGGCTATAGGCCTGCTTAATGTGGATCACACCATGACCATTATTGGCCGATGGGCAATCAAACTCCGGCCGAGATATGTGGATATGGTACGGGACCACGCGCCGCTGGCTTTGGTCATTCTTACGTATTACTGTGTGATACTGGATTCCATGCGCCATCGCTGGTCTCACGGCGACTGGAGCGTCAAGGTCTCCAGGGCAATCTGGATGGTGTTGGATGATACATGGAGACCTTTGGTTCGGTGGCCGATGACGGCTCTTTTTGGGCAGAGCTTTTCGAATGAAACGTGATTTCTTTGGTGACTGCCTACTTGATCCATTTTAGTATCGATCAGTTGGTGCTCGATGATCTTCAAGATTGCGATTATATCTTATTCTTCTCTATGCTGAAAACAAACGCCATGCCCGGGAATAACAGCACAAACAGCAAAACAAGAAAACAAGAAACACCACAAGCTATGCGCCAATACCAATTTTCACAATCACATGATGATATCTATCTATAGGGGCAACGAGGAAACCTCGTTGAGCTTCAATCCACCTTTCGTCGTCATCTTCCGCCCACGTCCCAGGAGACAGTTAATCTCACTCGGATGAATAATAACAAACACCAACATCACAAGGAACATCAGCGTGGAATCAAAGATATAGATGAACACCTCCGTCGAAAGAAGATAACCGTCACTCCCCTGGACATACTCGGCAACACGGAAAATCGACCGGATGAGAATCAAGATACTCGTCGCATACAGGGCGTACAGGTGCTTCTTCCAGGGGACACAATCGGCCACGGACTCTGCGGTGGGATGGGAGGTGATTCGAGCCTGGAAGATGATGGAGCAGATCACGAAGAAGCCGAAGAAGAGAATCTGGACGATGAGACCGCCGATGATGACGTTGTTTCCGATGTCTTGCGAGCCTTTTGCCAAGATTCCAGCTCCTACAGTGTTGTCAGCTTGTGACTTCCTTCGTTGAATGAGAACTGTTCAGAAAGATAGGACTTACCAGACGCCTGCATCAAGAAACTCAGAACATCACCCGCCACGAAGATCTTGGTCATCCAGTTCACCCGAATCAAAGCAAAATTCTGGCCCTTAACCAGACGAATAACCCTCCCCAGTTCCATATAAATACTAGCAGCGAACAGCGCGGGCGCAATGAGTAGCAGCGTGCTTTGCATAATGTACGGGCCGAGGGTCCAGTCTGGGGACTCCTGTGCGGACAGTGCTCGTCCTATGTAGCCGATAATTTCGACTGTTTGGTCAGTATCGTTGTTTTGCAATAGAAAGTTGGAATGGTGCGTGGGTGAGGGGCGTACAGTATCCTCCGAGCACGAGGGGGATGAAGAACCATGTTCGGGTTCGGAAGAGGTTGTAGGTGTGGAGGGCAGTCACGACGATGTAGAGGATGATGAAGATGACAGCTGCTGCCATGGAGGGGTTGTATTCATAGGCTTTCCAGCCTCCGTGGTCTGTTGACGACATTTCGGTTGTATGTATGGGGTATAGGCGGAGAAGACGGAGTAGTATGAGGTGGTCAAGAGGTTCAGAAGAGCAATGTAGAGGACAGAAATAAAAGTGATAATAATTCAAACACATGCAGATGCAGACATCTTATATACATACACGTTCTCTCCTATTCCCCTCGTTTTCTTATTCTATTTTTTTTCATCTGCGAAAAACGAAGCCCTCGATCTGCCACTGTTCGTATGTCTCGTACCCATTTCCTAATGGGGTAAAGACGGTGTTTCACTTGCGGATTGGAGCCACCTCGGCCATTGGATTAAGGATTTTATAGTTAAGAATAGCGTAAATCAAAGCTGTCGGAGAATGCCCGTTGCCTTATGGGTCTCGTATTCTAGTCCCTTTTGGGTTAACTGTACAGAGCTCGTACCCGTTTCCATATGTCAATGTTGCTCCGTGCGAGATTTTTGAATAGCTTGAAACTCGGTATTCTAGAATAATTGAACAACTAAAGTTTGGCGTGCGTCCCCGTCTCCGTCTCATTGAGCAAAACATAGCGATACCGGGCCTTCCCAGCATGCATATCCTTCAATGCGACGTTCACATCCTTCATAGCCCGTTTCTGAATCCATGGAAACACACGCTTCTCAGCAGCTAACTTCAGCATCTCCCTGATATCTTCCGTCGACCCGATATTCGACCCCGTGATCTTAACGCCCTTCTGGATCAACGAGAATGCCATCACAGGCGGCAATGGCTGCTCCGGCGCTCCCACCTGCACAAACACGCCGTCTGTCTTGAGCAGTCGCAGATATCCAGATAACGGCATGTCTGGCGAGGAAACGGTGCAGATAATCAGGTCCAGTGAGCGGGAATGCGCGCGCGCCCATTTCGGTTCCTCGTCCGTTGAAATGAAGGCATCTGCGCCTAGTCCCTCGAGCGTATCCTTCCGCTTGCCCGACGTGCGCGAGATGCCAACAACCCGATCACAACCCAGCGCTTTAGCGAACAAAACACCCAAATGACCAAGTCCCCCGATCCCAATAACCCCCACAGCCTTCCCCGGTCCAGCACCATACTTCCGCAACGGCGAGAACATCGTAACACCCGCACACAGCAACGGCGCCGCCTCAGCAGACGGCAACGCATCCGGAATCCTAAACACAAAATGTGCCGGCCCGCGCCAATACTCCGCAAACCCCCCATGCGACTTACTCCTCCCCTCATCGGGATACCGCCCGTTATACGTCCCCATGATCCGCGGACAATAACTCTCCCGTCCATCAGCGCACGCCTCACACTCCGGCTTCAAGCAAGAGCCACTCTGCGCGCCTACCCCGACCCGATCTCCGACTTTGATATCGCGGGATGCGGGCGAGGATGGCAGGGTTGGAACTTCTGCGCCGACACGCGTGACTGTGCCGATGATTTCGTGGCCCACGACGCAGGGGTAGTCGGTGGGACCCCAGCCGGAGCTGAGGGTGTGGATGTCTGTGCCGCAGATGCCGCAGTTGGAGACTTTGATTTCGATGTCGGTAGAGGTGAAGGGTTTGGGGGTGAAGGCTGTGTAGGTTAGGGGATCTGTGGCGTTGTGGGCGACCCAGCCGTGGTAGGTTTTAAGTGGTGAGGACATGATTGTAGGGTTGTAGTAGCGTTGTGTTTATGTAATTGCTTGTATAGCCAAGTAAGGATTGATGAGACCTGGTTGTCACTCGGGCTCTGGTCTATGCGCGAGTGAGTATCGGATTGACGTGCGTGTTGTAGTGGCAAACTTGCAACCGAGAAGCGCAGTATGAATTGAAATAGCGCAAGTCAAGAAATTTATATCGACGAGAGAGACGACAATTGGAGAAGTGCAGAGATCAATTGAGGAGACTCGCGAAAGGCGGAGACTTCTTAACCATAACCGGAAATGCCGAGGTTTGGCCATGTACTCCGTAATGATATCCCGTGAGAAGCAATTCAAGACCTAATTCGAATCGGACAATTCATTATTATAAAGCATGTGTGCTGGTGGTAATTGCCAATGCAAAGAGTGTATTTACATGCGCCAGATCATAAAACTAGTATGTACAGTGACACGACAAATGAATATATTAAATGACATATAACACGGTTAAAAGAGCTGTTTAGCTCGCTTTCGTTGGTGACGGCCGCCCCATCAGCTCGTCAAGTTCGTCGTTGGTTAAGGTACTGCGTCGTCGGTCTCGGGACTCTTTTCCGGTGCCTCGACTTCGCTTCCGGCTTTGGCTTTCTTTGCGATCTTGCTCTGCTGCTCGGGCATCGTCTTCTGCCATGGCAAGCTTCTGTGACAAAGCTACTCGCCCGCGACTGGGAGGGTCCTGCTTGATTATTTGTCAGTTCTGCGGCTTTTGGTTGACATGGACTGAGCCTGCTCACCTTTCGCGGAGGGTTTGCTTCCACTCGTTTCTTCAACATCCGTCGAGTCACGGCCTCTGGTTTATGTGCTTTGACCTGCAAAGTCTCGTCTTCATTTACACAGGGAGAACCATTTAGCCCTGGCGTGAAAGAAACCTTCCGGGACCGGCCGGATTGTATATTGTCGCTCCGCTCCTTGAGAGCACGGCTCGCTGCCCTTCGAGTCCTGGTTTCGCGCGTCCCAGCAGGCTTGGTCTCCTTCGACGGTGCACGCTGTTGGGAACTCTCTTTGGACTTCCGCTCGGCTTCTTCCTCCTCCTCTTCTGCCTGCTGGTCTTCCAGAATGGGAGACTCCATTTTTATATCCGCATCATTTGCTGCAGATGCACGTGCAGAATCAATACCGAGGCCCAGACCCATCTTCAATTCTTCGGCCTGAACCGAGTCGCCTCCGTCGGCAATCCGCGTATGCCACCCATCCATCATCGTTACCGCTTGTCTCCATCGGCTTTCCATCTTCTCCCAGCCTTCCCGGAGGCGATTGATTTCCTCGTCGCGCACTTCAACTTCTTCGAGGCGCACAAATGAAGGGTTGGTGAGTAGTGTCTGTAGGTGATCTAGCATCATACCCATATGGGCTGAAAGTTCATCGCATGATGTCGGAAGGGTAGTAACAGGGTCAGGCGACGATTTCTGCGTCCCGATGCTGGCCGCTCCACTTGGATTTTCTTCATCCTCCTCATGTGGTAGGCCTTGTAGAACTTTCAATGTCTGGACAGTGTTGCGTGCCAGCGCGATCAACATGTCATTTTCGTCACTGAGAGTTTGACATAGTTGTGTGAGGAAGTCGTTCGTCTCTTGCTTCAAGCTGTACCCAGGGTTGTTGATTCCTTCGCCGCCGGACAAAGTCTTAGATCTTGATGCGCGGTCGACTGTCGGATTAATGTTGATAGTCGTAACACCCAGTCCCTCTCGTTTCCCTCTCTGTCGCTCAGCCAAATGCGACTTCAGTTTCTGTAACTCCAGGTCTCGTTTGCGAATGTCGTTTGCGCATTGTGCTCGAACTTGCTGAACGCTGGTTTTCATGCGTTGTACTTGCTCCTTCATGCTTCTGATGGTTGATTCTGCGCTGGCGATATTCGTTTTGAGTGCGCGCTCCTGCGCCTCCGCGAGCGCTAGCGACCGGCTCATTTCGGACGTCTTTGTTCGGAGTTTGCCCTGCAGTTATACGTCTTAGCTATCGAGCTCTGACCATGTCATGTCTTTGTTTTAATTGCATACAATTTCCACTGATTGCTGCGATTCGTTCGCGCGGAGTGTCCGTATCGTCGTAGCGAGGCTTTCCCTATGGTCGGCTTCGCGCTGTAAATTGTCAGACTCTGACCATTGTGCTAAAAAGCAAGCGCATTATCGTCATGACATACATCTCTCCTCAAGACCAAGTCATTGACCAGGTTAATAACCCTGGCCATCGTCCCATCGGCACCCCCCTCATCGTTCTCCGGCTGAGCAAAATCGATCGGGGTGCCACCCTTTAACAGACCCCTGGCGAGGAGGACATTATTGATATAAGTCGAGGCCGCGTCCAAATTGTGTGGCTCCATGGCTTGCCTGCAAGCTGCCTCTAGTCTTCCCCTGTATGGTTAGTACTCTGTACAGAGCCGTGTCAGGTCGAGGTGGTCGTCGCTGTGTCGTCGGGTATGATGTATTTTCCCGCATACCGAAAGGGGAAGAAGGTAAACACGCGCTGTTGTCCGGCCGCCCGCAGCCGCCACCCGCGCAGCTCCGCCGATGCAAAACCGTTGCCGGATGAACCGCGCTATTGATCCTCTATCGCTCGTTAACGGGCCATTGACAGGCACCATGGGCTCGCGATCGCTGTCTGATGGGTCCGGAGGTCTCAGTTCGGCCGGTAGAAGCGTTGGAGATCGACGAACTGGTGGTGCCCCGCGTGGTGAAGGAGCCGTGTTGCTGCAACATGGTCAGAATCTATACCAACAGGGCAACTTTGCGGCGGCTGTTGAGGCCTTTACGGAGGTATGCCTGGTCCTCTATATCTCTGGCAAATTAGAAACTAAATAGGATAATGCAGGCGCTGAAAGATAGAGATTCAGACTTGTTGAGCATCCTGGATAGTCGAGCTGCTGCTTATAGTAAACTGGCGCAGCATGATCAAGCACTGCGAGATACAAAACAAATGATAAAATGCGGTAAAAATGATGAACGAGTACGTCGACTCGCCCCGTATTTCTTTATCCATACTGACTGGGAAGGGGTATTTACGCTGTGCCAAAACCCTCCTGCTGAATGGCAGGCCGGACAAGGCACTCGAAGTCTACGCATACGGGTTAAAATCCCTACCTACAAGCCATCCACGGCGGCATGTGAGCCTTGCCTTTACTGTTCCCGTCCGAGTCTATATGACTAACTTGCATAGTTGGTAGAACAACTACATAACAAGCTCGGGGATAAGATGTCTGCAAAGCTCTTGGATCCCTTCACTGTCCTTCCATTAGAAGTTGCTGTCATGATTCTTCAGCATTTCAACTTCAAACAAACAGTGTGAGTTGTTGTATATTCGCATAGAAGCATCTAGTTGATTAAACGCCTTCAGGGCCATCCTCCGCGTTTCGAAGAGATGGGATCAGTTCCTCACCTCGATGCGAAACACATGGCTGCGCATGGATCTATCAGAAGCTCGTGGCACTCGAGGCAGAGTCCACTGGACTTCAGTCCGGTCTTACATTCGACGCTCGAAAGGCATGCTAACACATGCCATTGTCAAGAATATATCCCCCCAATCCACGCAAAGAGTTTTAGAATTCATCAGTCGATGTCCGCATCTAGAACATTTCGAGTTCTGGGACTCTCATGACCCTGCTGCATTTTACGGGTTGTTCAAGGGCTCGAAACGGTTGAAGACGCTCGTAGTCTCTGCACATATGCCAATGGCGCAGGAGCGAATCGTGGGGTTCCTCAACGGCATACCTCATCTTGAACGAATAGAGATTCATAATGCCAAACCCTCTCCTGGAACACGGATGAAATGGCCTCAAAACCTGCCGAACTTGAAGAGTATCACACTTGGCTCGGAAGATGTGGAACCTCCTTCATTTGGGCCTGCGCTTTTTGTACCTCCTTTATATGTATGTCTGCCCTCCCCTGCCCCCCCCTCCCTTTACTCTGCACGGTGCCTTGCTGATACTGACTAGAATCATCGACTATCCCATGCCATCCCCAACCTAGAAGAGCTGCGACTTGACTGGTACGGACACGCACTTCAACGCCCGCATGTCAATCTCATGTCAAAGGATTTCCCCCGCCTACGCAGACTAGACATAAGTGGTCATTCCTTCTCAAATTCGGACGGCTTCTTCCCACCTAATCTTGAATACCTCCGTGTTCACGCGTGCGTCGCTGACATAGACGTCGAATACCATCCCGGCCCTCACCTCGCAAATCTCAAGACCCTCGTGCTCAGCGATGTCAACTGGCTGCATGCGCGGAATCTAAAACAACTCATTTCTAACACGGATGGATCGCTCCGTGTCCTCTGGCTAGATAGCTGTATGTGGGTGACCAATGAGCTTCACGAGGTCATGCAGGGCTGTTTCGGCAATATCACGGAGCTTAGTCTCTCTCGTGTTCCCAAAGTTGGGGATGCTCTGGTAGGCTATGTTGTGGCGTTTATGCCGGATCTCAAGGTTCTCTATTTGTCATACACTGATGTCAGCGGTCGAGTGATTAAGATCCTCGCGGATGCTCGTATGACTGGTGATGAGAAGAGGACGAGGATCGATCGTTTGTATGTCAAGGGTTGTGAAGGGGTTTCTTCTGATGCGGTTGCTTACGGAAGGGCTCGGGGGATTGAGATCTTTACTTGATGATATCTAACCCTGGAGGACATATAACTGGAAATCTGCATCTTGCCTGTGAAAATTTTTGATCTAGACCATAATGTCTATACGCATAATAACGACAGCTCATAGCTAATAGAAAGTACTTGCATCAAAGAACACAGACGCATAAGCATAGCCGTTTCGATACCAATCTAAACACCCCTCTCCTTACACCACCGCTCAACCTCCTTAGCCAACTTCTCTCTCTGGTCGCGCACTTGTTCCATCATCGGCTCAACCTGCTTGTTGTAAGACTCGTGCGATCCGTTCTGCGCATGTCCGTTTTCTTCCCCATTGGACTTGAGATCTGGGGCGAGATACTCGTCGTAGATAGAGATCATCAGATCCATAACCGCGGACAGTTGATTCGGAAGCCACTATTTCTTTTCAGCACCGTCACCATACTCTCGAAAGAGAAATACCAATGAAAAAAACATACCGTAACAATCGGACTCCCACCAGTAGCAGTAGGATGCGGCGTCCTACGAATAATATACTCGCGCGCAAACAACCAATGACGCCAGCGGAAGCTCCTCACATGGTCGAGCGTCTTCAGGAGGAGAATCGCAGTCTCGACGTCTTTGACAGCATACTCGCGCACACCCACTTCCGCTGCTTTGGCGTTGATGTGCGCGAGGAAGTCGCGGTGGGGGTGGGGACGGTAGGAGCGGAATTCGTGGAGGATTTTGGTGAGGGGGGTTGAGGGCATAGGGATTTGGCAAAGGTGGTCTAGGAGGGGGATCTTTTTGTTGTTAGTGCTATTGTTGTGGGATAGGGAAGGGAGGGGGGATTTACCATGCTGTCGTTGGCACCGCTTTCACCGCGGAAGTAGAGGGGTTTGTTGTCTAGGACGCCGTCGTAGATGACACCATTCGGGAACATGGATTGATTTGTGATGCCGAAGATGAAGACACGGAAAGAGAGGTATTCATGAGGCTTGGAATTACCCCACATATCTATAGGCCTTCGTTAGCAACTACTACAAATACTCGATATAGACAGGGAGGGGCAAGGTAACCTACCCTCCATAGACGCTTCAATCTTCTCCATCGCTGTGAGAATCTCCCTAAATCCATCATTAATCTCCGAGCGAGGACCGGCTTTCTCCAACGTGTCGACAACCCGAACAGCACCGCTGATCAAGCTACCAGACCACTTGACCATGTCGACGTGAGTCAGGATAAAGCCTGCCTCGGAGCTCTTAGGGTCAAGACCACCTTCGAAGGCCCGGACTAGACGGAGGTTAGGGTACGTCAGTCCCTTGGACGGTTCGGCAAGGTGGTAGTTGAAGAGGGAGTAGGCGGCAGCATAGGACATGAAGGGTGGGATGTCCAGTCTTCATTCGGTCAGTAAACAGAAGAGTATGTAATATAGGTAAGTGACAAAGGGACATACAGCTGAGCACAACGATACATAGGACGGGCCACAGCCTTAGGCAACAAGTCCCTCCCCAGTCCATAACCACCATCCGGGTTCTTGCGCCAGTTCTCCCAGCAAGGCTCAAGCAAGTAAGACGACGCCAGGAAGGAGTAATCCCTGAACAGAGCCGTGATGGTATACAAGTCCGGGAGACCATCAGCAGTGACCAACTTATCCACCTCATCGGTCAGGTCAGGCAACTCGGACTCGACCACTGGGCCTAGTTCATACGTGGCCAGCAGACCCGGAGCACCGTCTTGCTTGACGACAGACATACGGTCCAGGATGGACATCAGAGGTTGGAAGACCTCAGGTAGAGTGGTAGGTGAGGTCTGGTAGGGCAGGAAACCAGTAGAGGTGGTGATGGTGAAGGGGTCCAGGGAATGGGGGATGGTAGAAGGGTCATCATGGATGTGAGGGAAGCGCTTCAAGGTAGTAGACGCTGAGGTCACCTTAGGCACCGTCATGATGGAAGAAAAGAAGAGATGGTAGATAGAAATGTGAAGAATAACACGAGAACGAAGACTCGGAAAAGTGCGAGAAAAAAGAAGAAAAATTTCCAGGGAGACTGGTTTGTGGTTCGAAGGCCTGGGAATCAGCGCAGAGATGGAGATTTGGGTGGGAAAGGAGGCCCTTCTTATAATATCCTGAGGCCGGTATCAATTCCGGCCTTGAGAGGCACATTACGAAAGAGACAGAAGGACCGCGTGGAGATGCCTGTTCTGGACCAGAGGCCATCTTTTTGCAAGCTGCGATCGCACCGAAAGCGATTTTTCACTCTCCCTGGTGTGCGAAACGACATCATGAACGTCCATCGAGTATCATGAAGCCATATTCAGACACCTATATTCAGTCTTGGCAGGGCATGACAGCGTCACGGGACACGCTATTCCCGATCCAGCAGGGTCCCAAAAGGACTTGAGATGCTCGGTAGCAAATAATATAGTGATTCGATCGTCCCGAAGACCATTCAGGGCAGTTCATTGTCGTCCTATGTGATTCGGACTTTTGTATGCTTCATGTTGCCAAGACTCCATAAGCTTCGTTAGCGCCGGAGGCCGGTTTCATTCCGGCCTCCGAGAATAGCCGTGATAAGCAAAGTATGACAAAAGGCCCTGTAAGAGGACAGCCTTATCAAGTGCACTGTATGTTGCTGTCGATGTAGGGCTGGACAATATGCAGCGTCTGTTGTCGATGTTCAGGGATAATATAGACATTGGAGGCCTGAGATGAACCGTAGATATCGCTGTGCAAGGGTCAGTCTCATCAGTCCTATAAAGAATGTTCGGTACGGAGTACATGGAAAGGAAATATAATCCTTTCTCCATATTCCTAGGTGCTGAGTAATCCAATATTGGACGAGATTTCGTAGAAGAGAGTTGATTTATATTGTACAGATGGGTATAATATACACATGCTCATGGCTGTTCATATACACTGTTGCTTTTTATGCAAAGTATGGTACTGCAAGACATTAGTAAGTTCCGTACACAGGGTACATAAGAGCATATCAGCAACGTCGTTCAACTCACTTTGTACAAGGTCGAAGACCGTTATGCCACCTCTTGTCCCGAAGCAAATCCCGTATCACCACCAACGCTATGTACCCTGACCGGCACTATTCTGCCCTGTCCCTGAATCGTCCGTGCTAGGAGAAACCGTCTGAACTTTGAGGTATTGTTCTTGTAGGGCCTTTTGCAGCGCAAAATCGGCTTCTCGCTCTTGTCGGACTCGTTGCTTTTCCATGTCTCGTTCCACGCCTTTGTGCATTGCCTATAGAATGATTAGCATGTTTTCATAGTAGATTAAAGCAGACAAATCCACGAAAGAAAACATACCGCTCTCTCTTGTTCTTGTGCCCAGTGAACAAACCAGACAACCCCCGCAGTACCGAGACCGGTCATTGCTAACGTCACCTTAGATGCTTTGGACATGGTGATCAATCGATTCTTGATATCAACCTCAAATTAGCAATTGCGACAAACGTATTCTCTATCTTGCAAACAACAATGCCTCTGCTCTCGAACCAGCAATATTTTCCTCAGGCCTCGCCGGATTATCGCTGGTTATCAGAACAGGCGGTGACTGGCGGCAGAACCCCGACCGCCCAGGGGCTCATCGGCGACATCACTCCGCCTATCTGTCCCGTTGCGCTGAATAGAACGTTCATATCGAATATTTGAAGGAATAAACAGGCAATATGGTGAGTCTTCGATAGGAGATGTCATGTGTCTGTGATGTGGATGGGAATGCTAACTTCGGATGACAGTCGGCTCAGAACTCCGCGGGCATCCAAACCCTCCTCGATGTAGGTCATGCTGGAATGCATTCGCGTTTGGACGGTTGATCTTACATCATGCTTTATAGGCCGAGAGAGAGGCCCAGAAGATTGTGCAGAAAGGTGTGTTGTGGGAATCCTACCATTCGTGCTGTTTGACTGGAGACTAACCGTTACATCTACCTTTAGCCAGAGAATGTATGACCCCAACCTTCCCCGCAGAATACAGACAGCATCGTTCTAAGAAGCCCTAGACCGTACTAAGCGGATAAAGGATGCCAAGTCGGAGGCACACAAGGAGATAGAGGAATACCGTCAGCAGAAGGAGGAAGAATTCAAGAAGTTCGAGGGAGAGGTGAGGAATTCAACCTATGTATCTTTGATGGATAGACGGAGCAGACGGCTAACAGGCTCTCCCGGAAATAGCACTCGAGCGGATTCAAGAAGGCCGAAGAAGACGCGAGCAAGGAAGCCGAGGCAAAACTTGCAGATATCAAGACCGCTGGCGGCCAGCACGGCGACAAGGTGGTCGATGGCCTTATCCATGGAGTGGTGGATGTGAAGCCTGAGCCCTCGGAGAAGATCTTGGCCAATGCATAGATCGAATGAAGGCGTTGGTTGTCTGTTTCTACTATGGCGCATACTTAAATGACATGTTCTTGGTTTCAATTCAATTGCTGTTTTCGGATATAATCTTTAAGAAGCGGCTCTCTGGTAGGGTATACATATATCATTTGGCCGTGTTTGGATGGAATACTGAACTCTGTGACTGGGTGTCGAGAGATCACCGTAGTTCGATATTTATGCCTGAGGCAGTAAATCTAGCCCTTTGCGTCATCAGGCACCGCGACTCGACCAAGATACGGAGTAAACATTACAAAAAATGAGTTATGCAACCACCATTGCCAATGTGGTAAGATGTACCAGGCTGGCTTACTGCAATTCTGGCAACCAGTTTCATAGGCTCAACAGTCTATCCCATTCAATAACAACGCATCGGAGCTTCCATGCGTGTTCGCGCAGATGTCGCCCGCACAAGCACCCAGCGGCACACACCCTGGATCCACGACTAGAAGACATGGGAAATGTGATCCGAGATGAATACGCAATTATTCGAGACAATTACGGTCAGTTTCCTTCAATCGACAGAGTACACAAATTAACCATGAAACAGAGACCCCCAAACACCCAATTGTCCTCGCACATGGGCTACTCGGGTTTGATGAACTACGTCTTGCTGGTCCGCTTCTTCCTGGAGTACAGTATTGGCGAGGAATTAGGGAGGCATTAACAATGAAGGGCGTCGAGGTTATTACGGCGACGGTACCACCGTCTGGGTCTATCGAGCAACGCGCTGGGGAATTGGCGAGGGATATTGCCGTTGGTGCGCGGGGGAAGAATGTCAATATCATTGCGTGAGTTTGCTAGCCTTATCTCTGTTTGAGATGATTGTTTGGAATGCTCATATCTGACATGATAATAGACATAGTATGGTAAGACGGTCTATGTCTAGATCTTGGGGGTTTTCTTTACTCACAAGCTCTAGGGGTGAGATATACTGCGAAGAAAACATATCTATAAGACAGGTCGACTAATTGTCCAAGTGGCCTTGATTCTCGGCATATGATCAGCCATCTCAAGCCAAAGGACTTCAAGGTCCTGTCCTTGACTACCATTGCAACTCCTCACAGAGGTTGGTAGTAGTGCCTATAGAAACGGATCTTTACTGAAGGAAAACAGGTTCCGCGGTTGCAGATTATATTATCGAGCAGATTGGAGGTTAGTTCCTTCGATACATTTCACTCCAAAGGAGTAATAGGCTTATGTTATCGGCAGCGGAACGCTTGCCCCAGGCTTACTATGCCCTCGAACGCCTAGGTTTCGAAACCGGAGCTTTCGCACAACTTACACAAAAGTATGCAGTAGAGAAATTCAATCCCACAACGCCTGATATTGAGGATGTCCGGTACGTGTACTCCGACGACGATGATACCAGGCGAAGCACACGGCATAGGACTGAACGATTGCAGGTACTTCTCGTACGGAGCAGCCATGAACCCCAGCATATGGTCCGCCTTCCGTTTATCTCATCGGATCCTCAAAGAAACCGAAGGATACAACGACGGGCTTGTCAGCGTTGCCAGTAGTCGCTGGGGGGGAGAGCACGGCTATAAGGGGACCCTTGTCGGCGTGAGCCATTTGGACCTGATCAATTGGACTAACCGGCTGAAGTGGTTGGCTGGTGAAATTACTGGTAATAGACGGAAGTAGGTTTTTTTTTTTTTTTTTTTTTTTTTTTTTTTTTGGCATGCGGTTTAGGGGTCGGTTACTGACGAACATTCCGCTGCAGGTTCAACGCCATTGCATTCTATTTGGACATTGCAGGTAAGAATCACGCTATTTTTGTCACTATACATACCGTGCGGCATTGGCTGATGAGACAGATATGCTGGCGAAGGAGGGTCTGTAGAATTCTGGTGCCTGCTTCGGAGTGGCTGTGATACCAAAGTGGTTTCCACACTCATGTAGATATTTCTTGATAGAGATTCCAAAGATACCAGGAAAAAATTTGTACTGGCTAGTAATGCAGTATCAATCCGTCATAGCCTGAAGCGAGTAGGTTAGCATCATTTGGTCTGGAATTACTTGACAATATTACCATGAACTAACTTACTTTTTTTGAATGAGTCCAGCAAAAGGTCAGCAACAGTAAAATGATCATTTTTAATTGCCAAACCGAGAGCATCTACACCATCAGCATCCCTAATTCGTGGTTTGCGCCACATCTCAGCAAGGTCTCGACAACTGCCTCGTTACCATTTTCTGCAGCTTGCATTAGAGGTGTACGACTTGCATGATCTCTTGTGTCCAATGATGCGCCGTGGTCTATCAGCAATTTCACTCTCTTATTATTGCCCTCCTCCACGGCCAACAGGAGAGGTGTACGGCCCTTGTGGTTTCTCTCTTCAATCGAAGGGGTCCACCTCGCGCCATGCTTGAGTAGAAGCTCCTTGATCTCTTTGTTTCCTCGAATCGAAGCGATTTGAAGCGGCGTATAGTTATTAAAGGGGAAGTTAATCTCTACTCCGCAGGCAATGAGAAGCGTTACTGTTCCCTTATGGTTGAATTCGGCAGCCCTAGAAAGAGGGGTACACCCAGCGTCATCTTGCAAATTGATATCTGCGCCATTATTGATTAGTACTTGCACAGTAGTTGCATGTCCTCCCCTAGCAGCCCATGTAAGAGGAGTACACCCAGAGTCATCTTGCAAACTGATATCTGCGCCATTATTGATTAGTACTTGCACAAGCGTTACATATCCCTTCCTAGCAGCCCATGTAAGAACCGTGCCAGAACTATGGCCATCAGATGGCTTGTGTGTAGAGAATGTTGAATTTGGATTAAGCCCTTTCCTGATGAGGAGATATACCAACTTGGGCTCGTCATCTTGAATGCCAGAAAGAAGCACTGACTCAATCTCATAGATACCGTCCCTCAACTCAAAATCGAGGAGACCACTGACTACTTCCCAGTGTCGGTTTCCAAAGGCCCGTAGACGTGCACTCTGCTTTCCATTGTCCTTGGCTTCAACGTTTGCCCCTCCCTGGAGGAGAAGTTCCACTGTAGATACATGGCCTGCGGCAGCGGCCACGATGAGACTGGTCTCTGACCGTGCGTTTTGAGCTTCAATGGGCGCGCCATGTTCAATGAGGTTGTTAGCAATGTCGGTATGACCTGTACTCGTAGCCAATAAAAGCAGTGGCTCCAGAATATTGGGGCTTAAATGCACCGTGACGTTCTTTTGATTCAGAAGAATATTCACCACGTTGATATGACCCCTTGCAACGGCGTAATGCAATGGGGTGGAGCCGTTTTGTTCAGGTTTATTATTGTTGCAAAAAGCCAATAGTTGCGAGACGATCTCATCATGTGGCTGATAGGCCACCAAGCATACATAGCACTTGCCCACTTAAATGCATCAGAAATAATGAGTCTGTGCAATGTGTTTGTGGTCTTGTAGATGCACCTAGTTTGACAGGATCCCGTTCGAAGGTACTATGTATCAGTATTCTGGGGTCACTCCATGATCGCTCCGGTGCCGTTCCCTGACCGGACACGCACCGCCCTCTCTATAGGAAAGTACATAGTGAATGGTGGCGGTGTTGTTGCGTGCCATGGATGTCGAGTGGCTTTGCAACGCCCGACAGAATACTAAACCGGGCTGTGTGCAATAACAGTCCATACTAAAATCCAATAATCTCCACTATCGTTTCTTGTCGCAAACTCAGCCCTGTAACGCATTCCGAAGCCGCCGAAGTTGGCCCCACGCCCCGGCAGTTCTTCCCCGAACGTCATTTCGCTTGCTCGCTCTGAGTCTCTGACGGTTATTGCACTCCGTGTTACTTGTTTCTCTCTTTCTTAGTGTCGCTCAGAAATTGCAGACCAGAAAGGGACAACACTCTACGGAGCTAATTATCGTGACGAAAATATCGAACCGACCGGAGATTTTATCGCGAAATCCACACCGATTATAACAGCGCTGGGATCGACGAGTGGCTCCTCCAGAGCCGATTGGGCTCCAGCGCCATCGCCATGTCGGCCTCAATCGAGTTGAACGGTCCTCACAACCATATCACCAATCTCGATGTCATCACCGGAAGAGTGGTCGTCAATCTACCGTCTGAGGCCGCGATAGGAGGCATCCAGGTCAAATTGGAGGGAGAAAGCAAGACGCGTTTAACAGGCCCACGGCATCCCAATGGAGATCCGGATAAGAAGCGGACGGAACTGGAGGTGCATAAGGTGCGATTTATCTGGATTTCAGATTCTATAATAGTGGTGGAGGAAAATGCGATGTGGACAAAGGTTGACTGGTTTCAACGCAGATACTGTACAAAGTGGTGACGGTGTTCCCGACTCCTGCGATTTTTAATCCGGACAGTCCTAATACGGCCTATACGTTTGCGGCTGGAAGCTATGAATATCCGTTCGAATTCAAGGTGGATTGGCCCCTTTGCGCATAGGCGTTGATCGAAACTGATGGTCGCCCAGGTCCCGTTCAACAATGCGTGCAGCACGCACAACAACAGCATGCTCACCAATCTGAACATTACCGGTTTGAAGGTTGAGATGGCGCGCGAAAGCAACCGTCATGTCAAGAAGACCCTTCCGCCGTCCTTGAATGGTTTCCCCGGTATGGCAGATATCAAGTACTATATCAAGGCAACGATTATTCGGCCGCAATTCTACAAGGAAAACATTCGCGCGGTATGTTTGATTTCAATATATGATTTGTTTGAACGCGTGTTGACAATTGCAACAGATTACGCCGTTGAACTTTCTTCCTATTGAACCACCACGGACAGGTAATCCTAGCCAAGAGACGTACGCGAGACGGCAGCATCAGTTCACCAAACAAGGCAGTTCCTCCAAGGCAAAGAGCCTGTTCCAAAAAGTCTCTGGCTCCCTTGATCCCTTCGCGGATGGTCCGCGCGTATCAGCAGATGCTAGGTTACCAAATCCCTCCATCCTCACTTGTAACGAGCCTATTCCGCTGCGAGTTCTAGTGAAGAAGATGTCGGATAGTTCGGAAACGATCTTTTTACAGACATTCCAGATCGAATTGATTGCGAAAACTCACATCCTGGCTCACGATCTTAACCGAACAGAAACAGGCAGTTGGGTCATATTCAGCCAGAGCAACATGGGCGCGGTGTTGGGCAAGGGAGGTGATCCAGCCGGCACTGAATGGACTATAGATGCTCGCATGTGGAACCAGCTACCATTGCCTAACTCAGTTGCTCCAAATTTTGAAACCTGCAACGTCTCCAGGACTTACGAACTCGAGGTCCGAGTCGGTTTGAGTTACGGCAGTTTCGGAAATATCAAAGTACGCCTAAACGATACCTACTGCTGATACCTCTTCCTCCCTTGATTGTGTATGCTGACTTGTGACAGCCCCAACTCATCATCCTTCCTTTGAAAATGCCGGTCAAAGTCTACTCTGGAATCGCTCCGCCCAAGGCCCTCTTGGATGCCATGACTGAATCTGGACGCATGCAAGAACCTACGGCTCCATCTCTTCCCGCTCGACCCACGGATAGTCCAACGGAACGTCCTCCAATGCCCCCAAGGCCGGCGGCCGCGCCTGAACCTACCAGTGCAGACCAAGTCCCCGACGAAGCACCTCCAAGCTACGAGGACGCAATGGCAGAAACATTGAGTCCAGTGGATGGTCCCCGCCGCGAGTATAACCCACCAGATGATTCTTCCAGGACCATTGAATCTGGAGCTGATTCAAAACCCCCAGTCAACCCGGGAAGGGACCCTGAGGTCTCAACATCGGCAATACCCTATGGTAACCCCACGGCTATGTCATCAGAAGAATCGTTTGATATGCTTCCTTCGACACCTCCGGAGACTCACTCTGGTTCGCCACCTACATCCCCGGTTGCTCGTCAACAAAGTGTTTTGAAAATCCACAAGGTGCCCCCTCAACCTGAGGAGGATCCGCCAGAATATCGATCGATAGCTGGAGAGTCTCCGCAGTCGCAGCAAATTCTGCAAGAGCAAAGGCAACCTCGGCAAGGATTCCGGCCTATAAACCTCGGAGTTCCCAGCAGGAAGCCGGTCCCACGAAGCCCACATCCCAGAGATTGATTGGTCTAGGTCTTTCGCGAATGCCCGTCTATCACGACAGTCACGACGTTTGGAATCTTCTGAGTATATGGTAAAAAAAATATAAAAAAAAAAAACTTCATGAGACATCCGTCATAGTATGACATTGAGCAGCCAGTTGCATGGAAATGCATCACTCGGGGTTTGCACATATTCTTTTTAATATTGCTACTTGTGAATTGTGCTTTTATATCTTGTTCATAGTCTTTTCTGTTAATGTAAATACAGACCATTATCAGTTCTCTGCAATATCAATAGTGCTATGAAAATATAATCATGCCTGAGGTGTCTGTTCAAAACGGGTTTAGCGGGTACACCTCGAAAGCTTCCAGTTCGCGGTTCAACTCACTCTCTAACTCAAGATGCGCTGCTAATGCTCTTCAGTCACCGGTGGATTTAATTTGGAAGCTATTAATCCAGCCACCTTGTGTCAGAATTTCTGCTATCCATTCACCTGCTACGGAATAATCTCCGCGTCGCTCATCTCCCGCTAACTGCGATTTACTTTCCCTCCGCGTCGCTCGCAAGAACACCACAACTACCGATTCTCCCTACATATTGAACATTTCCTCTTATATCCATGGTTTTCCCATCAAATACCTAATTCATCCATCCTAAACCGAGGAAACGAGCATGCGTCTCCATCTCGTCATCCAGCGCCACGGCCTCCCCGTGACGCGCATTCTCTGGTCAACATCCTCCTCGTCCCTCGAAGGAAACGCCTCCTACAAACCCTCCGCGAACTCGTCCTCGATCGCATCAACCCGCGCCCCCAATGCCTTGTTCGCGAACAGCGGATACACAATTGCGCAGCTACTGGAGGATGTGAACGAGGTTGTCCCGCTTGAGACGGAGCCGAGATTATTCGAGGATAGGTCTACAGGGCAGTGGGGGTTGGAGGATTATGTGGTTGAGGTTGCGGGATCTGAGTGTTTGCATTTTATGGATTTAGGGGGGTTGTTGAGGGATGGGGATGAGGTTGTGTGAGTGCCTCCTCCATGTTTGCTTTTTAGGTTTGTTCGGGAGCTAATGCTTTGGTTTGCTGTAGGATCCGGTCACTTCAGATTTCCGATTTACGAGCGAGGCGGCTTTCAGGTCGTCATCAGATTTCGGTGGACGGGAAGCATCTTATCGACGGGGTGCCGTTTGGAAGACCATATTTGAAACGATCGACGTCGTCGAGACCTGCGATTGATATCCCTCCGAGAAAGAAGCGGCGCACTGTTTATGGTATTGGTGGAGGGTATGAGGAAGAGGATACCGAGTGGGCTCCGGTGGATCATGGGGTTACTAGAAAAGCACTCTCACAACTGCCGGATCAGCATGGCGATTACAATGAAGCGGACGATGAGGATTTCTACGAGGATTATCATGAGGTTGAAGATAGTGAAGATGATAATGAAGATGACGAGGCCGGTTATGGTGATGATGAAACGGTCATTCGACACCCCATTGCAGAAAGAATCGAGGAAAGGCCCGAGGGTGCCCGCACCCTTGAGAGTGATGCATCTGATGTTGAGCCCGAGGCTGAAGCTGAGGATCTAACCCAGGAGCTACAAGAACTGAAAGAGGATATGCATATGTCCGGTCTTGATCTGCTGGGTGTCTATGAAGAACAGCCCTCGCGATTGCGATCAACAAAGAGTCCTACGGTGCAAGGCAGTGTTGTGCTCGGGCAATCTCCATCTCTCAAATCTCCAATCCTACGATCCCCCGGAGGGCGTCAAGTTTCGAAATCTGTCAGGTTCGAGAGCGGAAGACAACCGCAACAGCAGGAGTCACCGGCATCTCACAAGGTGAAGTCTCCCGTGAGTGCGAAGCAGCAATCGCCCGCAAGGTCGATCTTGAGCAAGGAAAGCACGAGTAGCGATTCCGACAGTGACAGCAGCATTTCGAGCGACTCATCATCATCATCATCATCATCATCATCGTCGTCGTCGTCCTCAGACGAAGACGAAGACGAAGACGAAGACATCTCAAGTATCTCGTCGAGTGACTCCTCACCAGAATCCTCTGATTCCTCCTCCGAATCCTCGGACTCGGAGGACGAGGATGAAGAACGCAAGCGCGCTATCCACGACCTCAAAGTCAACCCACCTGGTCTGGGCTCTCTGCGTACCAAGAAAAGCAACCAGCGCAACAAGTTACGACGACGGCTATCAAAGCTGAAAGAGTTCGGCGTCTTACCTGAGCAGGCGGACTTTACTGCATTGCGAGAATGGGAGGAGAAAAACGGAGACTGGAACTTCGATGCCAGCGTTCTGGCCAAGCCTGCGGCGGACGAAAAGCGGGATGCTAAGGAGCAGGAGCAGGCTGAGTTTGAAGCTAAACGACGAAAACTGCTACGCGATCTTGCAGCTGGCGGTGTTGATGTTGATGCGTTTACTGAGGAAAAGGCACCATCCGCCCAGGCTGTGGAACAGAAACAAACCCAAGATGAAAAAGATCGGGAACAGGTCGAGTTTAATGCCAAACGACAAAAATTGCTGCGCGATCTTGAAGCTGGCGATGTCAATGTTGATGCGGAGGAGCAAGAGCAGGAACAACCTAAAGATGATACTGCTATGGAAGACATCCAAGCCGAACCTGCGAAAAGGCGCTCACTGGACGTCGCAGGCAGCCGACGCCTCCTCTTCGGATCCCTAGGCGTCAGAACTCCCAAATCCAAGGAAGAGGAAGAAGCCACTCGCAAAAAGCTAGCCGGAAAGGCCAACAACTTCCAATCCCAGCGGCCTGTCGAGGCAGAACAGCCTGAAGAGTCGGAAGATGACAAGGACGAGAACTGGGAAGGCAAGCTCGACATCCGCGCTACGGAATGTATCTTTGATGACATTGGGCTGACTGCGCCGCCTTTCCCATTCGAGCAGCGTTGGGATGAGAAAGCACATGAGATTATCAGACAGCGTAAGGGGTGGGGGAAGAAGAGGAAGAGAAAGGAGAGGATTCAGGTATATAATGGGGGTGACGAGGAGTATGGGTATGGGGAAGGCTACGAGGGCTACGAGGGCTACGATGGCTACGATGGCTACGATGGCTATGAGGACGGTTACGATGATAATTGGGAATATGAGAACGGGGAGATGCAGCTTGAGTACGATGATGCCGAGCAGGAGCAGGAGCAGCCGAATGGAACAGAGGCGGATGAAGTTGAGCATGAGCAGGCCGCACCTAAGACATCCGATGATGGGGAGGGCGACCTTCCTGAAATGCCAAAGGATATCAGTACAATCCCCGACCTGACCGAAGACGACCTCAAGAAATCCTCGATCATCGCATATAAACAACTCGACATGTCCAAAGATACCAACTGGCAACCCAGAGTATCCGACTACCGCGTCGCCGAGATCCACGAAATCTTCGAAGAAGACAACGTTCTCAAACTCCGCCTCGCAAAGCGCCATCGCCGACAGCCAAAACCCGACGACGAAGAAGACGACGAAGACGAGGGCCCTCGCATGTACAGTGGATTCGAGATGCCGGGGTTCGAGGACGATGAAGACGATGATGGGTTCCGGGAGATGTCGTTTGCGGATTTTATTGAACCGAAGCTTCTTCGTGCCGGTGGGGGCGTTGGACAGGGCGATGGAGATAGAGATAACGACATGTCAGTAAATTAATTCCTTGCATTCATATTCATTTGCTCACATGGTTGAAGCTCTTCAGTTGTAGAAGAATCTATTGAGAATCGCCCGGATCCTGAACCACCTGTCCCGAATGAATCAATCGAAGAAGAGCGTCCTCCTGTGAACAATGATCAGAATATCGATTCGCAGGTCGATGGTGTCGATGGTGTCGATAATTCCGCGAATGAAGCTGCTGGGGCCGGCTCTACTAAAGAGGAGAAAAATGACAATAATGCTCGCGAACGCAGCGAGAGCCCTACCGTGAAGTCCCCCAAGTTTGAAGGTTTCCGGTCTCCTCGAGTAGAAGGCCAGTCACCCCCCGAGTCCGCCCAGCGTGAACAACCCGGATCGACGGGTGATACCGCTGTAAATCCAGATAACAGCAACGGTCAACAATCGACGCAAGACCCCAAACAAAGCAGTAACAAGCAATCAGCCGGAAACCGACCAATACATCTAGACAACGGACCTGGAATCAGCGAGAATGACCTGCAATCGATAAGCAGTCCTGCTAGCCTGATGTCCTTTAATGGGCTTTTGACCCAAACCTTTCCGGACGAGGAGTCTGTGATGCAGGATTCTTCACCAGTTGCACAGAGAAAGGATGCTAAACATGAAGATAAGGATAATGAAGACAAGGACAAGAAAGAAGGTAGTCCCGAGCGCGAGCCACACTCCTCGGACGACGATTTCGTCCCAAATCCATTCTACGAAATTGACAAAGCTCATGAAGAGCGTCAACGCCGGGAATCCGAAATAGCAGAAGACCGAAACTCCCCCTACAACGACGACGATGACCCTACGTTCATGGGCTTCTCACCCTCTCCGCCTCTACACAAAACAAAGCGCGAATCCGAGCCCAACAACCCTAAATCTATGACCAACCAAGAAGAATCCCAAATAAGCTCCGTCCCCGAATCCCAATGGCAAAGCGCCAGTGAAAACAAAGAAAACAAAACAGAAACGGAAACAGACACTCCTACAAAGGACCACGAACCACCACCCGCATCCCAGTTCTCCGACATCAACTTCGTGGACCTGACGCAGTCCAGTCCACCCGCGTCCCCCGGAGGCAGTGATGAGGATTTCGCAAAGTCGCAACGACTACCGAAGGGTCCGGGCTGGGTGCAGAAGAATATCCCGTCTACGCAACGACGGACGAGGAAGTCGAAGGATAATAGTGTTAATCCGCCGAGTTTGAAGGGGAGGCGGAGGAGGACTTAATTCCGCCTGTGGATTTGATTGCTGTACATAGTTCTATGATACTGTCTATATGTTATGTTCTCACGATGACTACTCTGCACGTTTGTATACCTTAACCGGTTCTGAACATTAATACACCCATCGTGATTGGTCAGGTGCTGCTTTCACCGCGACGTCATCGGGTTTCCGAAACGGGTAATTAGCTTCAGATTCATGGAAACATCGTGTGTATGTTGTGTGTATGATTGCACCATGTTCACTTAATTCAGCATACTTTTAAGCATATCTACCCCGGTACAGTATTATATCTTTCATATTGGGCATTAGTCTACCTTTGTAAATGCATCTCCCCCGCTCGCGTATCTGTCTACCCTTGTCCTTGTCCTCTTTAAAGACCGTTCGATATCCTCCTCTCTCCTCTTCTCTTTTTACTCTTTCTTCGTCTTCTTTTTCTCGTCAGAATACCTGTCGCTGTGGCTGCCGCAATTCCAGCATCTGTTCGTGTTCGTGTTGCGTTCATCCATCGTCATCACTAAGCCAATCTCGATCCTATACTTCCTCTCCATACTCCTCTTCATCTTCCTGCTGCTCCTCACCTAGGCCATTCTCAACCGCCAAAATGCCCCAAGAATACCTCCTCAAAGACCTCTCCACCCTCTCCTCCATCCCGAACATGGAAAAAGTCGAAGCCGAAGTCGACGGCATCCAAGACGGCAAAGTGCTCGTCGTCCGCGTAAACGACAAATACCATGCCATGAGCCCCCGCTGCACGCACTACGGCGCTCCTTTGAAACTGGGCGTCGTGTCTCCGGATGGACGGATTACTTGTCCGTGGCACGGGGCGTGTTTTAATGTGAGTAGTGGGGATGTGGAGGATGCGCCGGCGCCGAATGCGTTGGAGAAGTTTGAGGTTTTTGAGAGGGATGGCGGGGTTTGGATTAGGGCAGATGAGGAGAAGGTTAAGGCTGGGCAGAGGAATCCGGTTGTTAGGGGGGTTGCGGAGGGGGAGGGGGGTGTTGTTGTTGTTGGCGGGTATGTTATACAACTCTCATGCTGTTATATGTGCATGCTGACGAGAACAGTGGGAGTGGTACCCTTGGCCTTGTCCAGGCTATTCGGGAATTGAAGTATAAAGGACCCGTCACTGTCATCTCCAGAGAACCGAACCTTATCATCGACCGCACCAAGCTGTCCAAGGCCCTAATCCCCGACCCCGAGAAACTCCTCTGGCGACCTCGCGAGTGGTATGAGAATGCAGCCATCAACACCGTCTCAGACGAAGTGACCTCCGTCGACTTCAACCAAAAGATCGTCAAAACCCAATCTGGTAAAACCTACCCATACACCAAACTCGTCCTCGCAACCGGCGGCGTCCCCCGTGCCCTCCCCCTCCCCGGCTTCAAAGACCTAGCCAACATCTTCCTCCTCCGCTTCGTAACAGACGTGCAAGCTATCCTCTCCGCCGTCGGCGAGCAAAAGAACAAGAAAATCGTCGTCATCGGCAGCTCCTTCATCGGCATGGAAGTCGGCAACGCCCTCGCCAAGGAAAACTCCGTCACAATCGTCGGCATGGACAAAGTCCCCATGCAATCCATCATGGGCGAACAAGTAGGCCGCATCTTCCAATCCAATCTCGAAAAAGCAGGCGTCACTTTCAAACTCTCCGCCTCCGTCGACAAAGCAACACCCTCCTCCTCCTCCTCCTCAGACCCTAGCAAGGTCGGCGCCGTGCATCTAAAAGACGGCACCGAGCTCCCAGCCGACCTAGTCGTCCTGGGCGTCGGCGTCCGCCCAGCAACAGACTTCCTGCAGAATAACCCCGCCATAACCCTCGAAAAAGACGGCTCCATCAAAACAACCGAACACTTCGCCGTCCCCGGCTTGAACGAAGATGTCTACGCCATCGGCGACATAGCCACATACCCCTACCACGGGCCCGGCACAGACCCAGGCACGGGAACCCACACGCGCATCGAACACTGGAACGTCGCGCAGAACGCCGGCCGCGGCGTCGCCCGCTGCATCACTCACGGCCCCTCCCCGCTTAAAACCCTTAAACCCAAAACCTTCATCCCCATCTTCTGGTCCGCGCTGGGCGCGCAGCTGCGGTACTGCGGGAATACGCCTAAGGGGTGGGATGGGGTGGTGGTGAAGGGGGAGCCGGAGAATGCGAAGTTTGCGGCGTTTTATTGTCTGGGGGAGACGGTTGTTGCTGTTGCTAGTATGGCGATGGATCCGGTTATGGTGAAGAGTGCGGAGTTGATGAGGAGGGGGGGGATGCCGAGTAAGGCGGACATTGAGGGGGGTGTTGATGTTTTGGGGGTTGGGGTGCCGGAGAGTGTTAAAATTTAGCCCCTTTGATCTTGAATAGTTCGTAAGTACTCTGTACTGAGTAATGAATATATGCAATGTTCGGAATGTATAGTGTGATGTTTTGATTGCCCTAACGCCCAAAATCAAATATACAGTAGTGTAGTAGTGTAGTGGCAGTATAGACAAGATCAGGTAGTTAACTAACTCATTTCTCCCCCTTCACCTTCTTCGACTTGGACTTCTTCTCTTTCTTCTCCTTGTCGTCCGACTCGGACTTGGACTTCCTCTCCTTCTTCTCGGACTTCTCCTTATCATCCGACTTGCTCTTCTTCACCTTCGGCTTACTAGGCGTTTCCACAGCAGGTTCAGGTTCCTGCTCCTGCTCTTGATCCTCTTCAATCTTCTCAGGCTCACCAACCGTCACAGTCGCAGGCGCAGGCGCAATCGGCAACGCCCCAGACATAGTAATCGCACTGGCAGCCGGCCTTCTTGGCGTCGCAGTACTCAAAATCCCATTCTTCTCATCCTCAACAACCCCCTCCTCCTCCTCGGGCGAAAGCATGCTCCCCTCGATACTCATAAACCCGCGCTCACGGTCCGTACCAGGAATAACATCGACATCAAGGACACGGAAACGAACAGTTCCGCGGACGCGGTGCCCAGAGACGGACTGGAAGTATCCTTCTGCGGACTCGTCCTCTTCGGTTTCACCTTCAAGGGCAGGGTTAGGTGTCGTTTCCGAGAGCGGGTTCGCGTCCGAGGCGAGGGAGACCGGTGTGAAGTGTTCCTTTTCAGGGTCGAAGTTCTTTGTCGGGGTGTCGGATTCGCTTTCATCATCTGTTTTGTTGGTTGTGGGGGCTTCCTCGCCTGGGGGGATCCATTTCCAGGTTGTGGGGAGGCGTTTCCGCTCAATACCCACGGAGAAGAGGTTTAGGACTACGGCGCCTAGGAAGCCTTCGGACTGCACGTTGACCCATCCTTCGAGGATCTGGCCGCGCTGCGGCCTGAAGACGAGGAATGTGGCTGTTAGGTAGACGTAGAGGACACCGTATTCGTTCGCGGATGTCGCGAGGGTCAATGGCTGCGGGCTGGGGTCGTGCGACTGCGCTGCGGCGGAGGCGTTTGGTGGCGTGGAGGATATCGAGGCGTTCGAGTACGCAAGGACAATACCCTTTAACGGTGGATAGTAGGTTAAGAGGAGAGGAGAGAGGTGCTCGGCCAGCAGCGAAGCAAGCGCATGGGTTGGAGAAATAGAGATAGGCGACAGGGGAAGATAAAGCGTCGCAGTCGTTAAAGTGTATGGCGAGTCCGGAATCGTCTGTGTCTGTTTCGCTCCGGCATTCTTGCTCTTGGTGCTAGAGGCAGACTTGCTCTTGCTCTTCTTCTCATCGGACTTGCGCTTCTTGGTGGAGGAGGTCGAGTCTTGCGACTTGTGCTTGCGCTTGCGCTCGGGGAGGTCGATTGTGGTGGGGGGGGTTGAGTCGAGATCCATTGCGTCAACTGCCATTGTTGAAGTTGGGATTGTCCAGCTTGCGCTGGAGAGCGACGGGTTGATATTGCGTTTTGCTTGCGGTTGGAGATTGACTTGGGTTTTTTTTTTTTTTTTTTTTTTTTTTGCTGGAGAATGAGAAGGGAAGGCGGTGGGGCTGGCGGTGAGGGTGGTTGCCTTTTTGGGAGGTCTTGCTCACAGAACCCTCATAACTACGGGGAACATAGAATTGGCATGAGAATTGCCATGCTGGTTCTTGTTTGAAAAGCTATGGGTCACATCATGGCTAATATGTAGCTAGAATGAAGTAACGATAAGATATATTGCAGTGCTGTTAGCCTGTTACCAATATCGAATAATGTCCTAACCCTAACCGTTCCAATCTCTCAAAATAGCAAGATGTAGCAAGCTTTTTGATACAGGTTGATAAAACTTCCATGCGTGTCTCCCAGTTAGTCCTCCTTGTTCATGTTAGCAAGTTAGCAATAGTTATGGCAGCGCTTGATCTCGGCCGTCACTGATAGTAAGCCCCCTGATCAAGTGGATTCGGCGTCTGATCCGGCCACAACAAAAGAATCCCCTCCTTCGCCGCAGAAACCTGCTTCTCATCCGTAACAACCCCCAGCCTCAGCAAAAGATCCATCTGCTCCGTCACCCAAAACCTACACCCCACCCCCTTCGAATCAAACTCGTACTCATGACGCCCATGCTCAACCAACTTCTCATAAACCCCCGCAACCGTCAATCCCGGAACCACATCTAGAGCAAAATGCGCCTGCACACCAGGTGGCAGGAGATACAGCAGCTCCGAGAGGATCAGGTTTGCTTTGGAGCCGCCTTGGATGGCAGTGCTTGGGACGCTGTAGCTAGGTTGGCAGTCCAGACAAATGGAGGACTCGGGGGATGTTTGGAGGTAGAAGCACCAGTGGTTTGTGTCTACTTGCTGCTCGTGAGCTACTGCGAGGATGCGGGTTATTGGTGAGGAGAGGATTTGGGGTTGGTGCTTTGAGGGGATGAAATGGGTTGTTTTGAAGGTTGTCATTGTGTTGTGTGTTTGGATCTGTAGAGGTTGTCAGAATATTCCTTTCTTTTAAAAAATTAGGATTATGGGATCTTATAGTGCAAATCGATGCTTCTGTTGTAGCAATGAAGTAGAATATACTTGGACGCTTACCCAGGCACGGGATGGATGCTCCCTTTATATGGTCTGGCTTCACTGCTCATACCTGGCTCGAATATTAGCTGACGCACGCTGAACTCCTCGTACTGTAATCCAGTGAATGATTCTTATTATTGGAAAAGATGAAAAGAGAAAGCAAGCAACGTCGTGACGAATATGCGCAGCTGACTAAGCGGATCCAGGAACTAACTTAACTAACTAGTTAACTAACTATCAATCCAGATAACAACTGCCAAATTGCAGATCAGGGACTCTTCAACATCCAGCCATGTCGTCCATTCTCTCATTCCTAGGATGGGCATTCCTTCCTAATGTAAGTTTTTTGCTAGCGCTGACTCCCAAACCATACTAACAACACAAGTATGCCACATCGCTCCTCCAAAGTGTCTACTACGGAATTACCGTCCGCGCCGGCGAACCTCGACCCCAACCTCCCTCCCCACGATATGCGCGCCATCGCCGTCGCATCTTCATTCTAGTAATTACCAGCTACCTCCTCTACACTCTCTACGATACCTTCCACAATGTCCAAGTCGCCGGCGACTTTTACCGCGCGCTGGGAGTCTCCCCGCTCGCCAACGACCGGACAATCAAGTCGCGCTTCCGACGATTGGCTGCGCAGCACCATCCGGACAAATTGGGCCATGGAGCAGGTGACGGATATGGCAGCGGCGGGGACGACTACTTCGTGTTCTTGAAGTTGGCGCAGGATACGCTGTTGGATCCGGCAAAGCGGTTTGCGTATGATCGGTTCGGACCTTCGATTTTGAATTGGGGGAATGAGAAGACGATGCAGGATTTCTTGTATGCGGCTATGCAGCGGTCTATTATTCCGCAGTATGTTGGGGGGGTTGTGACGATTATCTTCTTGAACTTTACCTGGTGGTCGGATTGGGGGCGCTACGTGAGTCTGCTCTCTAGTCCGTGCAAGACATGAAAACAACAGCTAACGGTGATTGACAGTGGCGCTTCTTCACCTTCGCGGCCCTCCTGACCCTCGAACTCACCCTGATCACCCACAGCCATCTTGCAGTCTTCACGCCCGCCTCCCTCCTCCCCGAAGGCCTGCGCAACATTCTTGACATCCCCGACTCCCTCAGTTTCTACCTTCTCCCCTTCCAAGTCCTCCAAATCGCCCGCCAGGCCTCTATTATACTACATATCTTCATCTCCCAACTCACACCACCAGAGTTAACGAAGAAATCGTCCTCGACACCGGGAGAACGCCTCGATAAAGAGACGATGCAGAAACTGGGACAGGTGATGAATCTTTCCCGCGCAACGGACTTGGAGGCGACGAGGCTCTTGCAGATGGGGTACGCGCCATTCCGGGGTGATAAAGAGGGAATTGCAGCGTTGAGGAAGGGGATGAAGGAGGGATTGGTGTTGAGTGGTGTGAGGAGTAGTCCGGAGGTGCAGCAGGCTGTTGCGGAGGTTGTTGAGAGACGAAAGAGAGAGAGTAAGGATGAATAGATGGTGTCGATCTGGATGTGTTCTTATTAATAGATTGTTTGTACATGCGAATTGATTTTCTCCCGCCTTACTCTTTCCATCAGCCTCGTGGTTCACGAATGAGCATAACCTTGTCAACTCATAATTGCTTTGCCTCGTATTGCCGCTGATCGCTATTCCTTTTTACTCCCTTGTCAAAACGCTGATCATCATCAACTTAGCACTTGCTGGTCTAGGCGTCGCCTCGTGAGATACGAAGTAAAGCAAAATGAATTCCATCATTATCCTATCCAGACATCTGACAACTAACTGTTTATACAAATAATATGGTACATACCTGCCATGCTTCCTTATTCTATACATCAATCAAAACTAACAATTGAAAAATAGGAACTCGCAGACATCGAACAAGACCCCAATAGTGCACCGCATGCAGCCGAGAACAGAAGTTCGAGCCCCCTTTTCTCTATATACCAGATCACAACGACAAATACCCCGTCTCTCCTCAAAATCAAACGAATAATTTGACGGGACCTATCTTATACGGACATGATATACCACCGCAGCCGCAGCCGCCTGGGGGGGGGATAGAGATGGAGATGGTTCAACTGCCGTGAAGAAGAAGAGGAAATGGCCGTGCTATCTTTGTATTGGTTTTTGTGTTGTTGTTATTTTTGTTGTGATTGTTGTGCCTTCGGTGGTCGCTACTAGGCACTAAGGAGGGATTCCTATCTAATTGGGCGACTTCTCAACGATCAGGTATGGAGAAGGGAGAAGTGGGAGCAATATAGAATAATAGTCGGGCTGAGACCAGTGAAGTGCCAAAAGCCCGTATATAGGCATAGACCGCCGCACAACCTGGAGAATTCCAAAGGGTAAGCCTTGGTTGGCACTGGTGCAAATAATCACTTTTCCCTGACATGATCCAGGTAGGTAGGTATCACGACTGCAAAAGGCAAAGAGATATGAGACTGAATAGAAACTAAGGAGATGCTTTGCTGCTTGCTTATTGAACATTGCTTCACAACCAGTGAAGATCCAACTTTCAACTCTTATAGTCCGTACCAAGGACCTGGGCTTATTTAGACGGAGATAAGCCAGTAACAAGCAATGCCAATCCATCACTGAGATGCACGACCTTCAAGGAATCGCAAACTAGAACCAGCCGTCATCATCACTCATTACTCGTTTCGATATCCAGCCGATTTCTACTATCATCCCCCCCCCTGCAATATCCATTACTATTTCGATACCTTCGTATTTATCGGCACCTTCGCCTGCCCCAGCCCAGTAGGCTACGTCGACCGAATCACAAGCATCTTCCTCTGGAGTGCGTACATACTCGCCGGTATAGGACAGACCCACGGTGTTGAGAAATTATCAGGGATCTAAATTCATGTCCTGAATCGATGAAGAACGATTCGAGACATTGCATAGGACACAAAAACGTATATATGATAAATATAAATTTATTGCCCGTTATCACTAGCTAAAGCCCACGAATACATAAACGATGACCCAGCCAGCCCTAACTCAATCCCAGAGATACAGGCTCAAATATGAAAGGAACAGATCCGAAGCATGCAGTTTCGAAGTGCTTCTAGAAAATGAACGGCACTACTCGAGAACATCGCGGAGTCCTGCATCTAGCTGGAGGTAGGGATACTTGTAGAACTAGTTAATAATTACTCCTAGCAGTTGAATGCCAGATAGGTGACTAGTGCAGAAGAACCAGTTTCTGCTACCTCAGGCAACATCCGGAGTCAGGCTGTGGCCATTTTCCTCTTTCCATGCTGGTGCTCAGTGAGCACGTTCTGAGCAGTCTGATATTGTCCTGTGAAATTGTTTAGATCACGTTTTAATAAATTTCTAATCCTTCTAGGGTTAACCTCTATCTAAAGAGTATGCTCCGCTCCCAAAAGCATAATAAGCTGTCCTGCGAGCTAGGGCTAAGAGATTGAATGCTCCCATGACGCAAAAGTATGAAGCATTCAATTTGGCTTTGGCGAGAGAAGTATCGAGTCGTGACATCAACGCTACGTCCAGCTTTTTTTTTTTGAAGTGGCAGCTTTACCCCTCATTTCTCGCACATTTGTTGGCTCCTTTTTATTTACATGAATACAATATAAGCTAAATTTTCAAGTCTCAAGTCTATAACTCAAAATGGAATTCGATCCGAATCAGGAATTGATATTGCAGCTTATTCTTGAGGATGTGGCCGATTTCGAAAACAAGCAAAAGGGAAAACAAGTTGCAGGGAAACAAAATGACCTCGAACTCGCCCTCGTGTGCATGGAAGAAGCCCTGACCACTCAAACTTTTATTCAGGACAGAATACTAGCTCTCAGCACGAGTACGGCAATCGTTACCGATCAAAATATACTGGCATCTATTAAAAGTGATGAACGCATTGCTGAGCAGGACCATCGATTCGTGCTTGCTCTGGACAATGAAGAGCCAATCCCTCAAGATGCCCCATATGACACAACCATAAGCAAAGCCACATCGCCAGATAAGAATGAGGATGCTGTTTCCGTTGTTATCGGAGACCTGATGGACCGTATGACGCTCAACGACGAGTCAGATAATGGAGAAGGTTCTTCACGTTATAAACCCTCACACCAAGCAGCAGATATTGGAGATGAATGTGTTTCTTGTTTTGAAAAGTGTGATACTGCCATGTTTGTAGGCTCCTGTGGCCATGGATTTTGTCATGATTGTACGAGACAAATGTTTCTCGGAGCCACCAAGGATGAAGAGCTGTACCCGCCTCGTTGTTGCGGTAACATTGTGCCGCCTGGACTTGCCATGAGAGTTTTGAACTACGAGGAACTCCGGGCTTTCAGTGAAAGGGCGCTTGAATGGACCGCCAAAGATCGACTATACTGTGCTGAGCCAACATGCTCCAAATTCATTCCTCCATTTGCCATTCATAACGAGCATGGCACTTGTTCAGAATGTCACCAGCAGACACATTTACCCTGTCACTCCTTCGCGCACCCTGGTATTGACTGTCCGATGGATGACGCACTTCAAGGTGTCCTGGCGATAGCCGACGCTGAGAATTGGACGCGGTGCTTCAATTGCCGAACTATGGTAGAGCTTCAACACGGTTGCAACCACATTACCTGTCGGTAAGTGGATATCGCTGTCCTTTTTTCCTATGGGAATATCAAAGAGCTAACCCCTTCCAAGCTGCGGCAGCGAGTTCTGTTATACTTGCGGCCTGGTCTGGAAATCATGCAACTGCCCACTTTGGCACGAGAATAGACTTGTTGCCGTAGCAAACCAAGCAGTCGCAGAGGAGGTTCCGCAAAATGCCAATTTCGAATATCGCCAGAACGCATTCAATCGGATAGTTGAAAATCTTCGGCAACATGAGGACGTCGGATGTGAACATCACAGGAACTCTCAATGGGCTTGGCTTAATCAAGGGAGTTTGATGTGCGAGGTTCGCAATCATGATCTGCCTGAGTATATATTCATGTGCAGAAATTGTCGGATGAGAGCCTGTAACCGTTGTCGAAGGCATAGATTGAGATGACGGCTGGCCCTGCATTCTTTTTGCAACATGCGTATTAAATGGAAACAACTAGGGAATAATTTATCTCTTGGAACAACAATAATAATATCGAATTCGCTTACCTTGGATGTTTAATAAGACTAGTAGGCAAAGTCACGCTACGAGGTAGGCCTGTATGCAAATGCATTTCTACCCTAAAACTCCGTAGTAGTGGCTCCGCGCAAATTGGCCGACACTAGCGAGTCCCCACACAGGTATGTCGGCAGATATATCCATGGCTACTAGTCCTTCTAATAGCCGAATCTCTTGGCTTAATTTCCTCATCTTCGCTCCTGCCAGAAGGGAAAACTCGTGGACAATGCTGCAATACCTTGTCTAGAGAGCCAGTACTAACACACCAAAGGCAGACAAAATGGACCAAGAGCAACCATTTGATCCCGACATTAGCGCTCAGCTATACAACCGGATCATCTGCATCGGGCTTGGCGGAGCTCAACGATCCCTCCGTGGACGCCGTCTCCAAACAAACTGGTTCAATACCTGGGTTGCTCATCCAGAAGCCGCACCGTACGTACCTCAGTGGCTGACGCGATTTCCCGCGCCAATTTCCTCATTCCTAGAACAAATCTATCTGGTCATAGACACCCACGGCGTGCCCGTGGGTCAACGATGTGCTGGCCTACCATGTTCAAGCCATATCACCGCCAACCCGTCTCCAACCGGTGGAAATTGAGGATTTGGATGACTGCGTGTTGCTTTTGGGCAGTAACCTCAGCACCATGACGGATTCCATCGGGCTGGTTATGGATGTTTCGGATCTGCGTGTGTCGTATATACATGACCGGCTGGACTGGGATGAGAATGAGAACCAACCATGGTATAGTTTCCAGCTCTTCCTTGAACGACTGAATGCCATTATTGACGTGGGGAAGTACCGGCCCGTCCCGCCAGACAACGACATGTATAACCCGTACCAGGCTATGGCCAACTTCTGAAGCGTGGTCCCGTGGAATGATTGGGTTTTAAAGCAGAGCGTTGAGGCATTCGATGCGCTTGTTAAGGCGATTGAGGCTCGTCTTCCCCAGGAGACATCACACGATAGATTACGGCAACCAATCGCGACGCAGGAGACGCTGAATCCCGCCGTCAACGGATTCCCTCGAGCATTCCTGCTGCGAGCTACGAAGCCACACTTCAAATACATCACCCCGGGAATAAAAGTCTGCGATACAGAAATGCCGCCTCCCCAAATAGAGATCCATCATCCCAGCCGGGGAGATCCGGTGTTCCGCACCCCGTACTATCGTGAGTTCAACGGTACCCCAGCTGTCTCAGACGCGATTATTCTCTTCCCCGCGGCCGAGGCTCGGTATAGAGAGCGTCAGGTCGGACTCTGGGTATAGCTTGACCCAGCGTGGGCGAATACCGTGAAGCTGGCGCTGCCGTTCGAACTATCTTCGTACCCGAGATATGACGGGAAACATATTTCTCGAAAGACATCGACTGCGTTATAGGGACAGGGGAGCTGTCCGTTTTATGTGGATCATGACACGAGACTGGTTAGTTTACTGCGGAAATGGACGGAGCTTGTTGATGATGGGGTCTGGACGGTAGGTGAGGATGGGGTTGAAGGAGGGATGGAGTTTTACCGGCAAGCTGAAGACCCCGAGAAGACGGATTGGTTTGTGTTGAGGGAGGAATGCTTTGATTTGGGGTGGATTGCGTGCCACACCACGATTTCTTGAATGAGAGCATTTCCCGTGCCCCCACTGAGCTAGCCATCCGAGAAGCTTATCATGCGAAGGCACCCTCGAAAATGGTAGGGCAAGACAATCAATGGTCGCCAGCTGCTCGTCGAGATTTCCTGGCTTTCCCATTTCCGTAAGGACCGCCGTGAAGTTCTCAAATGCTAGTCCTATCGATAAGAATATCGAATCTGGAGAGGAAGAAGAAGAAAGGAAGCTGTCTGGTGAGACAAAGGAAAACTGTCAACTACAATGCTCAGTACAATATCTTAGGCACTATTCAGAGTGAATAGAAGGAGAATTTGAGAAAACTATTGATCATAAGGCCTATTTATATACAATATGGCAGCCATCAACTAGTTACAAAAGAAAATTGTTATGGAAGAAGATAAAAGCAACGTAAAGTGCATAACACAAATATGTGCTGGTCTATAGTTGAAGCCTTTTGCAGAGAGTTTCAAACCTACGCAACTTCGGCTTCAATTATCATCTCATACTCCCGAGGGTCAGGCCAAAAGTTGGCGATCTTCAGCCCAGCTTCGGTCAACAGCTTCTCCCATGCACCCCGTGTCCGCTCAGAAGCCGAAAGTAACGACATCATCTCCACGTCCATTGTAGCCTGGCTAATGCTCGCCCCCGTGGGAGGAAGAACAATGTCGTAGATGAAGAGTTTGGAGTATCCCTTGACCATTGCATCTTTTGTGTTGACTAGCAGTTGCTTGGCCTTGTCATCTGGCCAATCGTGAAGCACGGCGTGCATGAAGTAAGCTCGGCTGCCTGCGCTTTAGGTATTAGTATGCAGTTTTGACTTTCTGGGCCGCAGCGTCTCTTATCTCACGTTTGACCGGTTGCGGGAGAAAGAAGTCATGAGACATAGCTGTGATCTTCTTATCCACCTGAGCCTTGGCGATGACTTCCGGAACATCTTGCAAGACGAGCGATCCAGCGGGGATGTCCGGGTGCTTGACAAGGACGTGAGAAATATCGATCCCAGTGTTTCCACCCACATCAACAACGAATGGAAAGGCATCGTCCAACCTGGCGCCATCAAGCAGTCGGGCCGTGTCGTATACCTTGGTCCATGGAGTCTTCCATGCTGTCCAGGCCTCCATGTGACCGGTGAAAGCTTCACAGTGAGTGGGATTCTGCTGGAGTCGTCCGAAGAAGTTGAGGCCATCAGGGTCTATGTCCGAGTAGTTATTCGAGATGAAGTCCGTAGGCTCCTTGTAGGAGGTCTTAGCTAGATAGGCCGGCAGGTTGTGGCCTGCTGCAAGGTATTGATATGTTCTGGTTACGAGGTTAGTATAGCGGGGTGGGTTGAAGGATGCGTGTAATGCGTGCTCACGCTGCTTGAAGCGAGGCGCGAACCTTGGTGCTCTCGTCGCCGATGGCGTACGAGAATGCTGTCGGTTTAAATTTGTCCTCCGCTGTCTCCTCGACAATGTAAAAGGCTGCTAGCAAGCGGGAGAGCCGACCTGTATGTCTTGTATGAGTCTTGCTGGATGATATTCGCGTGGAAATGTGGCTTACGCAGTAGGTTTGTATCGATGGTGGCATTTGTAAGCTGGACCAGCTCGTTGATGGACTTCTCGCCACCCTTAGCGCTCGTCCAGAATTTCCAAAGGCCCAGGTCGATGCATGTCTGCAGAGCGGCGAAAACGACGGGATATTCTAAGCAGAAGCCCCAGGCGCGCTCATAAGGTGTCTCCACCCTGGCGAGCAGGGCTTCCACAGACAATCGCACAAGTTCCGGAACTAGACAGAATGGTCAGCATGTGCAGTTCTTTTCTTACGGTTCGAGAAAGTTACGTTTATTTCATTCATCAATCGGCTAAGGACTATCTCGTTATAAATCAATCAACCGTCATATTTAGCGCAGGCTGCGAGCGAGTCCATTATGAAATATATTCCCGGTCACTCAATGCTATGTCAAACACGTTGCGGCAGGACATATGCGAGCTCAAGGATCCCGGGTCTCTTACCATGGAATCCCGCCCCAAACAAACAGCATTGAACTCTATCGAATATGCGTGTGTTCACTGGTTCGACCATCTGTGTCAACATAACAGTAAAATCGTAGAGAATAGCCAAGAGCTCGATGACAAGGGCAAACTACACACTTTCTTTGCCGAGCATCTTCTTCACTGGCTGGAAAGCCTGGGTATCGTGCGAGAGATTTCAGCGAGTATACTCATCATCAAAAGTCTTCTGCAGAGTGTCCAGGTATGTTTCTCAAAACTTGCGAAAAGGATTCAACTAACAGGCTGCCAGTCAACCCCCAATTCTGAGTTTGCGAAACTGCTGCAGGATTCCATGCGGCTAGTCCTCACCTATGGTTCAACGATAGAGCAGGCTCCCTTGCAAGTCTACAGTGGAGCTCTTGTCTTTTATCCTGAGAACAGCGAAATCGAGCGTCTATTTTCGAACAGTAGGCTGCCATTCGTGAGGAGCGTGACTGGCGTTCAAAAGAACTGGAACTCCTGCCTGCAGGTACTCGAAGGCCACGGAAACTCACCAGTCAACGATGTACGCTTTTCGCCGGATGGTCAAACCCTAGCAACGGCCTCAACCGACTACACGATTAAGCTGTGGGACGCAACAACCGGAATTATGAAGCAAATTCTTGAAGGCCACAAGGGACCCATAAACTCGATCTCGTTCCTTCAGGATAGTCAGTCATTAGTGTTGGGATCAGAGGACGGCACAGTCTTATCATAGAACACGGCAGCTACGGGCTATGAAGAAATGTTGAAGAGCCATGAAGGTATGGTCTCGGCTATTTCCTTCTCAGCTAGCTCAGATACTCTCGTGGTGGGCTTAAGCAGTGGCACAATCTTGCTCCGGGATCCTGTTACCAGCACTTGGAATCGAATCTTTCAAGGCACGATTAACCTTTCGGAGGCAAGCGATGTCTCCTTAGATGTCAAAGCAACAATTAATCATGCGTGGGACAGAGTAAAGAAAGACAATAAAGCCATCAATCAATTTCTAGAAAGGAAGATCAGCTATGACGAGTTTGAGACCGTCATCAATGATGCCAAAAGAGACAACCCATCAGATTCAACCCATCAGATTTCATAGAGAAATATAACGCGTCTGCCAAGCATGTAAATTCCAATCGAGTGGATGCTCTGAATATCTCTCCTGATGGTCAAGTACTAGCCTGCGCCTGGAGAAACGGTACAGTCCGTCTTTGGGGTACAGCGTCAAGTACCTGGAAAGAGGTTTACAACAATGAACGTCCAGCGCAGGCATTGGCATTCTCCCCAGATAGCTTGACATTAGCTCTGGGCTTGTATCAAGGCTCTGTGCGGATTTGGGATATGAGGTCCAGAGCTTGGAAGCACATCATAGAAAAAGAAGAGTCACCCTCGCTTCCTATGTCTGCTGTATCCTTCTCACAAGATGGTCAGTCACTGTTTTCGATATCGGCAAAGAAAGTTCATCGCTGGAACTTAGCTACTAAGGAATCCCATGAAGTTATTTCCACAAATGGCCCCAGAGAATTCATCAATGCCATGGCTTTTTCTGAAGATGGTCGGCTTTTGACATTGGCTAGTTATATGGGAAGAGTCTACATTTGGGACACCAATCTCATCGCCTTGAATCCTTCAGTTGATGGCCCTGATAATAGGTCGACTACTGTTCCTTCGTCACGCAACCAGGCTCTTGTCTCATCTTCGGGCGTGAATAACCGCTTAATGGGCTGTCTTTTCTTCCTAGCCTTCCTGGGCTGTCATGTATCTTTTTCAGTCCGGATGCTGTTGTATTCTCCAGACAAGGACAATTCTTCCTACTTTGGGATAAAGATAGTGATAAAAATTGGCCTGGTTTTCGACGTCATCTCGTTCTCTGTGCTAGTTAGACTACTATTCATGGAGGCGGATATCCGCGCAATGAACCGAGAAACCAGGCGCTTGAATGCCTCTACTTTAGAACTTCAGTCGCAGATCCCTAGACTTGCCCAAGGTGACGACAGCCCTTGGTGCAAGGACCCTACCACCGGGGAATGGGAAATTAAAGGACATCTCTCCTCAGTCGATTTGATGGCTATGTCGCCAAATGGTCGCATCCTTGCTACAGCCTCTTTTATTATCCATCTATACGACACGACCACCAACCCCTGGAAAATGTGCCTTGAAGAAAGCGGTTTGATAGAGAATATCAAGTGGTCGCCGGGTGGTGAAAAACTGTGTTCAATGTCATATAAACAACCAGCAAAGCTTTTGGATGCCAACAACGCGATGGGGCTCGTTTTATATAGAATGATCTCGGCTGCTACCATGAGCATTCAAGAAGGATAAAAGACCATGGGGTCTCTCTTGTTATTCTTGTTGTTGTATTTACGATGCATCCTCTGATTCTCCTATCCTTGGCCGTGGGCTTCTCCCAGGCCTACACTGTTACCAATGTAGATCATTTCATGTTAAAAAACATTGACCCTCTGGTGATTCCCGGCAAATATGCCAGTCATATGCATGATTTCTTTGGCTCAGATGCTATCAATGTGAGCACCAAGACCTCTTCTGAGTTGCAGGGCGGCTGCACCACAGCCGAAAACCTCGATGATTTCTCAGCATATTGTGAGTTCTCTCCAGAGGATACGGAAAAGATGAATAATGACTAACTCAATTCGCGCAAGGGGTCCCGACACTCTACCATGTGAATGGATCGAATTATACCGCAATCAAGCCTTACCGATTCAGTGCCTACTACAAGGAGCTCGATAGCGCCGAAATCCCAATCCCTCAAAATCTCAAGCTCCTAGCGGGAAACGTGAGCGCAACGTCCCCTCATCAGCTCGACAAGAACGCCGGTGTCCAGTGGTTCTGTGACGGCGGGGAAGAAGAAGGGGACTCGGAAGACGACACGGACGATGCAGCGTTCCCCACCAGGACGTGCAAGGAGCATCTGCAAGGACTCCTACTCTTCCCGGACTGCGCGAGCCCAAAAACTCTGGAGTACGCTTATTCGGCCAATCCGAACTGGGTGGGTGGCTATGGCGAAAACCGCTGCCCGATTGGCATGTATCGGATTCCTCGTTTGCGCTTCTCTATCCGTTATGACCTGCGGTCCATTCTTCCGGATGGTTGGTCTGGAGCTCCTCCAGTGAAGCTTTCTTGTAGTGGCTCGTATTGTATGCATGGAGACTTTATCAACGGGTGGCTTCCAGAGGCTGCGGAGAATATGGTGAAGGACGCGCCGTCTAATGATCGCGAGTACTTCCGTGTCCATGGTCCTAAAGCCGAGGACGATCAGGGCTCTGAGTTTGACGCCCAGGACGCTGACCCCAGCCACGGCACAAGTGACTACTGGACGAGTGTGAGGATGATGGGCGCGAGTCGGAATTCGACGATGTTGAGAAGACATTCAGCATATCATCGTTTGAGGTTGTAAATGATGATCAAAAAGGCATAGAGTATGGAAAACGCAGAGTCCTGCCTGTCAGCACTGGTGTCTACATAATTTGTATGGAGTAATCGTTTAACAGCTCAAAAATCTATTCTCACTAAAAAACCTCCGCTGCAGAAGAGTGACTATCTTGGCTTTCTCACGAACACCGTGTACGGTCAATGATGTACTAACAGCAACCCGTCGGTGATGATTGTTTTCTTCGTATAGGTAGGCGAACACAGCCGGAACCTGATTGAGCCATCAATCACTGACAGTGCAAGTGCGAGAATTGGGAAGAAACATTGATCAGATTGTTTGCTTTCAAAGATAACGATAGACCGTGTGTGGTGGCTCCCCAGCCATAATTTGTAGGAAGTCTCACCCCCATTGGAGTCAACTCAGAGTCTATCATTCTGTTGCAATACGATCCTTAAATGAATTCCACCACTCTTGCTACTCGTGAAGGTGTGTGGCTTGTTGGCTTTCTGATGTACGAAATCCATGTATCATGCATCCACTGGAACATTTTAGTTTTTCCAAGTCTAGAAAATGGTCCGCAGTGGTATGCTGCATTCTCCAAATTTATTTTCCATGTTGCAACATCTGGGAACTCATAGCCCCATCTTTTCGCTGTCATGTTGTATCATCAGAGCCTGTTCTCTGGTTCCGTCAGCCCTATAAGTACTTCCGTCAACTTGGAGTCTCGCCTGTCTTACCATCGCTGAAGTTGACAGTCAGAAACATTTCTCAAGGAGTGAAGAAGGTCCTTTATAAGAAACAGCTGAACTTCGACAGAATCAGAATTTCTGTCCCGTTTCGCTTTTGCAACGATCACGTTTGTCACAAGCGCAGCCGGGTCCCCGTACCATAGGGTTAAATCAAGTTTACCCTAGAGAATATATATCCAAAAATAATTACACTAAGACCAAGGAAGTTCACCACAGAAGAACCACAACACCACCTATTCTATCCAAATGTCCACCAACCTTCGAGTAAATGCTCGATGCTCGTCCCCAATTTCAGGTCATTCCTCGTGTAATCCCCGTGCTATCCGTCTGAGATTCACATTTGAGGGAAAGATTATATTCGACATACCGCTGGATGGGTCGCCAACAAGACGATGGCGTTATTTCCTTCATAACTTGGAGTCCCAGGCATTGTTGCATCTCAGACCAGCATCTCCCAAAGAGGTTCAACCTGGAACTGCAATGGTTTTGCGTTCGAAGGATAACGGTCTCGGAGAGAATGGAGTTGAATACGTACGTTAGTATCGAGTCTAGAGGTACTCTCACACGAGCTTCATTTGCGGGGCGCGCTCTAATCATCGATAGCACAATGCTAGAGATGACTATTCCACCCTTGCGCCTCTAATAAATCATTCAGTATATCAGAAATTGTGAAGTTTCTTTATCTCTTGTATTTAAGAGGTAAGAGGTATAGCGAGGCTGTGGACTCTTGTCTGGAGGTTGAGGGCTTCTCGCGCTCTGAAACATTTGATCCAGAAACGGCTATTTGACGACCTTCGTGGAATTGCTGTCCATTTTGCAATCAGATCATTCTTACGGATCAATAGTCTTGGTTTTCCACATTGGCTTCGGCGTTCCCCCCATGGGCGAGCACATTACGCTGTTGGTTATGCGGTATTTGCAGAATAAATCTGCCCTGTATCATCTAGTTCCACGATTGCCTGCATGGCCACGCCTTCTCCACGCTCAAGTCGCTTACATTCGACGAGCGCAAGCGGAGCCCGCATGAAGCAGTCTTCTAGTTGGCTTTCCATCTTGCGACATGCTTGTTTGTATTGTCACCTGCCTAAACCTTGCCTCGTAGGGCTTCTGGTCACTATCGATCATTCCGAGGAGACTGGGCTTTTTTTGGTGCAGAGGAGAAATCAGGCTTATGTTCTCCACTACTTCATTTGATTCTTTGACTATTGTCCCTTTGTCCCTTGCCAACGGCCATTGTTGATCCCAGCATCGTGCCATCTGGATTCTGGGCGTTCCTAGGCGTTCAAGGTATTTCTGAAATCTGAAAGAATACGTCATGCCTCCTCAGCTTGCTTACTGAGAATCGCTCTCGAGACGAAGTCTCTCCTGCCGGGCGTCAGCGCTTTTCTTAGCTGCGTCAGTCAAAGGTCACCGTTTAACCATAGCGAAGGATTGTACATGGCCAATAACTGCTCGCGATCATTGAAGCATCGATCCGGGTCAAAATCACCGTGCTTGTGCTCTTCAACTATCTGCTTTTATCAATCTGTCAGGCCTAGATAGCTCATTCTCAGGGATCTCAGAGCGCTAAAGGTCTCACAGAGAGAAAGGGATACGTAGTAAAAGTCAAGGTGTCCGCTGCAGTAAATCAATAAAAACTTTGGAGCAAAAGCTTTGTCAATGCCTAAAAGCAGGCCGCGTCGTAGACAATTGTCCATGAGTCGTAATCTGAGGGAAAGGACCTTCTTGGGGTGAAGAAATCTCTGGTGAATCCTTGTTGGGACTGGTATGAGCGAAACCTGTGCGGCACAGAAGCATGCATTTTATCTTTTAACCAAGAGCAGCGTTTCTTCCTTATTGCGTTAGTTGCGTAGATATTTGTCGATTATATCGAGTGGATCTTTTAGGTCGCGCTGATCCTTTCTCAGCATCGTATCGATTGAGGGCGGTTGGTGGCGACGAGAACCCTATACAACTAGCTATCTTCTGACTTATCATCCAAAATTCCTGCTGACTCCTTGGAGATGGTGAATCGCCGTTCTAAATATATCTAGAGAGCTCACAAACGCCAAGTTTGTCAAGTAGTGGATTTGACGGGGACAATGGGCAGTTCGGTCAATGTCCACTAGAATATTGCATCCTGAGCAATTCGCATATGGATAAATAACCTATACGGCGGACCAGATGGAGAGCTATGCTTCGTTGATTGAAGGATCCTGTGGTTGCCAAAGGGGACACAAGAAACCCAGTACCAAAGCACTGACGGCATTTCATCATTGGAGTCAGATTAGAGCGCCATCCCAACGTTCATGCAAGCAAAACCGCCTTAATAAGTAGTTTTAAATGGTCCGTTTCATCAAGCTGTAGCCCGTAATCATGGCATCCGGCTTCTTTGTATAAAATTTGCACTTCTGTCAAAAGATGGATTGAGGAGAGAACATACTCGGTCACGAGAGTGAGCTTGAAATATACTGTCAAGACTATCATTTCCCCCAATTTGGCCACCACTTAAGAATCTTATGACAACTGGCCAAGTTCAGGAGCTTATTGGAGGAGATTATGGTATAGAAGTCCTTGATGATACTCTGGCATCCACGCTGTTTGTTGCTGTACTGGAATGATTTCCTCCCGAGGCAAAGGGTCTTGCATTTCTGGTTGATCTGAAGGAAGCTCGGGGGGGCAGGGGTGAAGGAGATTTAGACAGGTATATGGTCAGATTGGTGAGGTTGACAGTGATTGGCTTGATTGTGTTTTCCTCATCAACAAGATTCAACCCTTCTTTGGCCGCCTGAGCTAGTGACATTATGAAAAGGCCCAGGTCCATCGTCCTTCTTGTCCCGAACTGCTCAATTGGAGTACTGATTGTCTTCCTCGGTGTATTTAAAACCTTCCCCTTTGTATATGCGTGCAATTGCATGTACACTGTGCCTGTCATGCGCACAAATATGTCTTTTTTGGGTGGATACCCGCGAGACTGGTTCTGGGCGCAAAGCGTCTCTGACTTGACTCTGTTTCAGTACAATAGATCCTGCTCTTTTCTAAAATGGAAGAGATGTCTCCAGGAGCATATTGCTCTCCAAGTACTTTGGGTTTTCGTTGATCGGTGCTGGTAGTCAGTAAACCGTTATAGTAACTTTGACAGATAAACGATGATAGGAGGGTGTTGTGTTGAGTCTTCAGTCATGGGTCTTATTTGCGCAAGAGAGGTGAAGCTCAAGGAGACACCGCGGCTTGACGCAATTCACTTGTTGCATATTTTGTTTGAACATGGAAAAACTAGTATTTGAGGTAGTTAGCTCAATTTTGATGCAGTGCATTTCGAAGACAACCCATAAACTAGACTTGCTTCGAGCAAATGATGAGATCAAAAAGACAAAGCAAAACGCAGGAAGGAGATTTCCAAATCAAGAGCAAAAAAAGAAACCGATTGTATGTTCCGACACGGGGAATCGAACCCCGAGCTGCCGTGTGAGAGACGGCGATGTTAACCATTACACCATATCGGATTTATTGGTACTTTTGTACTGGAATAGGTTTCATGTAGCCAACTACTTATAACGTATCTGCAGCCTATTCTGACATGGTTCGGATGATGAAGCGTCAAGTGTATCGAATGTCGGTGTCTTTGATCTGATGCATCTAATATTTACACTTTTACCGAGTACGGATCTATTTTGCACAGAGTACTCTAAATCCGGCCAGATCATCAGCGTGGGATCATACCCGAAGCAGTAACGGCAGTGGTGTTCGCGGTCTCCTGAGTGAATTGGAATCCTCGGACGAAAAGGGACGGGATTGCTGGGAAGTATGTCTCCATCGCCATCCACGGACGCGTCGGTTATTACACCGTCATCCGTGATCCGTTGTATTAATTCATGGCATACAAGTACAGGAGTAGCAAGCAAGAACATTCTCATACAACAAATATCCTCTACCTGTATACTGCTGCACAAGTATAAGTATGCCATAGCTACAAAAACTGAGATATAGAATAGATTAAGATAATACCGTATGATACCGTCAGGAACCATACACCAGCGTTCCACGGCATAGAAGAACTGTTACATACCGCGTCACAAACCGTACCAGACGCGCCTCTGTCCGCGGCCAAGCCAAGCGCCTCGTCCGAAAAAGGCAATTTCCTTTCAGGCCTTTACCACACCCACACAACCATAGTACTCGCTCTCTTTACACACAGAGACTGAAAGTCAACACACGCCAGCAATGGTCCTCCACGGCGCCTCGACACCAGTATCCCTTTCTTCCGCTCCTTTTTCCCCTTCCCTTCTTTCCGTTCTTCCTTCCTCTTCACCACTTCTTCTCCTACCACTAATACTACTATCACCACCACCTTCACCTCACCATCACCACTATCGTCAACTTCGGATAGATAGACGGACTATGTCACCTTCGCCCCGTTCTACCTCACTTGATTATCAGCCTCGTCAGATTTTTGCCTCATCCTGACCAAGTTTCTTACTCACGCCCACCGTTCTTGACTTCCAACTTTCACCCATTTTCTCTCTCTCTCTCTCTCTCTCTCTCTCTCTCTCTCTCTCTCTCTCTCTCTCTCTCTCTCTCTCTCTATAATTATTCCTCTTATTCTCCCTCCCCCCCTTTGGACCGATTAATCTCCCACGTCACGGCCGTCCCGACTAAAAATTCAACCGAGCATCGCAAAATTCTGACCTCAACCCACTCCCAATCTCTTGCGACCGGTCGACCCGAAAGCAGGAATTAATAAGGGAGAAACAATTCTTGAGAAAAAAGAATTAATTCTCCCTTCCATTCTGCCTATTCTACAACCATATCTACACTTTCTACTGCCTACACCGAAGTCATGGCGTCAGCACCTAACGGTCGCTCCAGCCGGACAGGCAGCACTAAGACGGTCATCGTTCTCAAGCTGTCACCCGAACTCTTGAGTCGATTTCCTAGTGATTCTTCGAAGAGCACACCTACCGAAGCCACCGACTCGAATATGAACACCATGAATGCTTCCTCTCCGGTCAAGGAGAAAGAGGGCTCCCCTGCCTCGTCCATGGCAGATGTGCCCGTTCCCCCGTCGGACAACGCTTCGGATGCGAACTCGACGCCTGCAGGCGCAGCGTCCACGGACACTCCTCGTCGGAAGGGATTGCCAGGTCCAAAGCCGGGAGCCAAGCGAGGAGCCAGCCAGATTGATTCGGCACCCAAGCCTAGAGGGAAGCCGGGCCCGAAAAAGAAGCAAAAACTGTATGTTTTCCTTCGACCCACGCAGATACAAGTACATGTATGCTAACGCTCAACAGTGACGATGGAACTGTGGAACAACCCAAAGTGGCCACCGGTCACCGACTCGGTCCCAAAGCCAACGCTGGTGCTATTAATGCCGGCCTCCGTGCCCTGGATCGCACCGGTGCTCCTTGTCGCAAATGGGAGCGCAAGCCCCTGCAACTGAAGAGCTTTACCGGGATCCACTGGCAGCTACCTAGCTGGCGAACACCCAAGCCTCCAAAGGTCGAAGAGAACGGCGACTCCAAGGCGGCTGTTCTCGACACGGCTGAAACCGATAGCAAGGTCAACAACAGTGCCAGCAACGTCCCTAGCGAAAAGAGTAACTCGGGGGATGGCGGTCTCACCCCCGTTCCTCCGCCAATGGTTGAAATATCGTCTCCAGCCATTCCTATGGCCACCTAGCCATCAGGTTCTCGAATTTGCTTTATCATGCTACTGCATCTCTATTCTCTTCATGTATATTACTCTTATCTTTCGTTGCCGTTGTTTTCTTTTGTTTTTACCCCTTTGGAAGCGGTCAGGCGTTTGTCTGTTTTGTGGTTTGTTTGGCGTCGGTCCACCATTCGGTTGTGTTATTAATTTCTTGTTCTTGAACAGTAGTGCTTTGTTTTTGGTTCACTGTTCTCAAGTCTGTTTATGGCGGGCTTGATTGGTTCTTGTATCATTAGGGCTATATCCGGAAAACCGGAATTATTGGATTTTTTTTTTTTCCTAGGTGCTTGTTATTTGGGCCGGAATGTACGGAACCGGATTGGAATGCTTTATCAAAAGTTGTTTGAACACTGCTAATCTTGTGTTGGTTTGGTGTGGTTGAAGTGTTTATCATGTCTACTCTGTATCTGTAGTGTCGTCTGAATCTGTTTGGGCTATCTAGTGAGATGAGATGGGCTCACAGTAGCAGCCAACTAGTGTCTGTCTATCGTCTTCCTTGTAAATGAACATTCTGCGTAGATTCACTCTTACTCTTAACGATGATACATGATCTGATTTCCCCGCATGACTTGATGGCCGTTGTGACAGTCGTACAGTCGGCTATCCAGGGCTGTATGGATAAATAGATCTTTCTATTTGTCGTGTTTCCCCTCTTTTATTCTATTCTTGTTCTTTTTTCTTCTCTTGTAGAATTGATTAGGTGGCTGCTGCCTGTACGAAAGCGGTTGCAATCGCAATATCAATCCGGGAGCTCTACAAGGACTGATCAGGAAGGGGGAAAGCAGTGAAAATCAAATTGATCACGCGATCACAGAGAAATCCAATAACCCCGGCAATAGTTGAGCCAGACTGAATGGTGTTGAGCAAAATGAGCTCCATGCCATCATCACCACCAGAAGCAACATCACTATCGGCGGGTGGATCTCGAGCAGCTCCTCCGACAATAACAACGGCGACTCCCTCACCACTCTCCAATCCCCCTCCCAGCTATTTTCTCTCCTCCAACCTCCGCCGTTTGTCCTACGCTTCTGTTCTGTCGGGCGCTGCGACTGCACCTGAGAATACTACCACTGACCGTTTATCGTGGGATCCGCCTGACAACCATCGTCATCATCGTCTTTATCTTCCCCCGCCTTTCCGTCATCAGCTTCAGGACCACAACCACAACCACCTCCAGAATCCCTTTTCTGACGGCCAGACTCCATTCTCTCCTTTGCTGCTGAATGCCGATATGCAGATGAATTCCGCTGCTTGGAGGTCGGGAACGACGGCGACATACAGTAGCAACAATAATACTACGACTACGACCGAACATCCCCTGCCTCCCTACTCTCGAAAATTCGTCAGTTACCCTCAATATAACAACTATAATAATACGTTCCTTCACGGTCCCGGCAGCTTACACGACCCTTTCAATCCCGCCCCGTTCTTCACACCCTCCTACCTCCGAAACTCAAGCTACGCCGCCCGACTGCAGTCCGACCATCGAGCTCGAATCGCATCCGGCGAGAACGATGATATCCCCCTCCCATCGAACCCCTTCTCAACACTATCTTCTTCCTCATCCTCCGCCTCGAGCCATGCGAATTTACCCCGGATAGCTCCGTCTCATCGCGGCATGACCCATGAGGTCATCGAGCGAGAACCCCCCAGCATCGACGACCATATTCCCCCGCTGCCGACTCGATGGAGTGAGACGGACAAATACCCGACACTTGAGATGATGCATGGGGGTCTGGAGCTTCGGTACACAGGGCCGCTCAATAAGCATGAGCATGAAGCAGCTGCGGCGCGTACGGATTATCCGATGCCACCGCAGTGTGGGATCTATTATTTTGAGGTTACGATTCTGTCGAAACCGAAGGATGGGTATGTTTTTTTCTTGGACAATCTTTATAGCGCGTCATGGGCTAATTGTTTAGGATGATTGGCATCGGGTTCTCTGGTGGTAAAGCGTCGAACGAGAGACTCCCCGGGTGGGAGACAGACTCATGGGCCTATCATGGAGATGATGGCAAATCGTTCTTTGGGGAGAATCAGGGACAGGGGCGACCGTATGGTCCAACATTCGGTGTGAATGATACTGTCGGCTGTGGTGTGAATTTTGCTACGGGATGTGCGTTTTTCACTAAGAATGGTGTCTTTCTCGGTATGTATCGTGAACCATAGATCATGGCGAGGTGCTGACATTGGTAGGAAATGCGTTCCGGGAATTGAAAAACATGAAGTTGTACCCGTCAGTAGGGATGAAGAAACATCCTACTGTTCATCTGATCTCCAACTTTGGGCAACAGCCATTCATGTTTGATATTGATGGCATGGTCAAGGTATGTTGTTTTCGAGGGGGTAGTGTATATATATAGCTAACTTTTAGCAGAGAGAAAAAGCGGCGGTTTACTCAGATATCAGCCGCACCAGTACTGCGAACCTTCGACCCTCATTGGGCGAGGACGCGCTTCTTCATGAACTGGTGGCTCAGTTCCTGGCTCATGATGGCTACATCGAAACAGCTCGAGCCTTTGCTGAAGAAGTGGCAGCTGAGACAGCGGCATTGAACGGCCATGGAGATCCGTTGAAGAAATATGAAGTGGAAGAGGATCTCGAAGCGATTAACCGGCAGAGTGAGTCCTTTTTCTTCTATTCCTCTCAATCAGTGCAATATACTAACTGTGTGCAGAAATCCGGGCAGCCATTTTGGATGGCGATATCGACAAAGCCTTGAAATATACTAATGCCTACTACCCCAAAGTCCTAGAAGACTACCCTCACATTCAATTTAAATTACGATGTCGCAAATTCTTGGAGATGATGCGTCAATCGAACGATCTGTCGATGGCAGCCGCAGCCAAGCGCAGCAAGTCAGCTTCCAACGGAGTCTCGGACGGTAATGCTGTGTATGGTCAGGAGATGGAAGTGGACGACCAAACGCAAGACGGAGACGGGTGGGAAGCCGATGGCATGGACACGGACGATCCAGAAGCAGCAGCCAAGTTCCAGACGCTCCTGACGGAGGCCGTGCAGTACGGACAGCAGTTGCGTATGGACTATCCGACCGACGAACGAGGGGGCAACAAGAAAATGCTGGACGACATATTTTCTCTAGTAGCATATCCGGATCCACGACGATCAGTTCACGGACATTATCTGGACCCGGCTGGACGAGTGGTGGTTGCTGAAGAGCTGAACTCGGTCATTTTAGGTAAGCTCTCTCCACTCTGTTTGCTTTTTGTGTTTCGCGTCCCTTGCGTTCCTTCGTGCATTGCAAACGATCAACATTTGGGCTTAGCTGACGAGTGTGATGAACCATCACAGTCTCTTTAGGGAAAGCATCGTCGGCGGCGCTGGAGCGAGTTTACCAGCAAACAGAGGCACTGGTGAATGAGGTTAGTGACGAGGGGGGTGCGGGGGCGTTTATCAATGTTCGAAATGATATTTTGCTATGATGGGTATCGGGATATTATTGGATCAGACTGTATTTATTATGAATGTCTACTCCATCGTATAATCTTTCCTTTTCCACAGCCTTCTAGCCCGTGTGCACCACATGAAATCCGGATGAACCCGCTCAGCATATGTATGTCAGAGCACATACATGTGTCTCTTCTCCTTATGGCTCGCATGGGCGATTCGGTTCAATCCGGAGCCACGATGAGAAATTTGTCCGTAGTGTTCCTATCCTAGCCGAGATGTAGGGCATGACTGAAGCAAGCGGATCGGAGATGCAGACAGACAGCAGACCTTGGGCAGCGGCCAGCTCACCGGGTATCTGTCGGGTGAAGATGCCGGTTTTCATGAATGCTGACATATTTGAGGCGAATATAACTAACAACTCAGTGATTTTTCAACATTCTGCTGTTGTTTTGTTGTTTTTTGTGCCCGGAGTCCGATGTTTACTCCGGGGGGTGTTCGTATATAGATGTTTGTAACGGGTCTGTATTGGGATGTAATATATGCAGATGGCATGCCGAAAAGCGTAATCTTAATACAATATTACAGTCAGTCACCGTCTTTTGGCTTCGCTTAGTTTGACTTTCACATCTTCAGCTTTCCACTCCCCTATTCTCTCTCTCTCTCTTGGTCTCTCAATTACATTAAGATATTCAATCGTTTCAGCTCTCCACTGCCAACCGGAGCTCTCCGATGATCATCTGTCTCATCCGAGATCTGATGCCAGGCCAACTCACGCCTTTTCGCTGGCCAATTCTGACTTGACTAACTGTGCCCTCTCTCTCTCTCTCCGTTGACCGTGGGAAAACCCCCTATCGAATGACGCTGCTGCATCGCGTTTTCTGATCCATAGAAAAGGGGCCATGGAATACAAATACGAACATCATCATCCGATTAATAATGGCGGCATTATACGTTGTTGTTGTGGTCAGCCCGAGTGCGCATTCCTGCGCGAAAACCAGTTGGCGCTGGAGGCTGTTGAGAAGAACCTCGAGACCGCCGCGCGATTGGGACAGGTAAGACATTTTTTTTTTTTTTTTTTTTAAAAAAAAAAAATAATAATAATTATAGTAGACCATTTGGATGGAAACTATTGGTATTGTCATTTTGTATTACCTGGGGTGATGATGATATCAGATCCCTGGTCTTTGCTGCCCCTCTTATATACTCCATTCTGCGCCCTATATACAAATAGCTTACATGCCGGGGTTGTTTTTCTCATTTTGTGATTTCTTGGTCTTGCCCCCATCATTCCTTATCTCACTGTGGCAATGTATGGTCCTTCTCAATAGGGACTGATTTGTTATTATTATTGTTTTGTTTTGTGTCTCTCCCCCTAACATCCCGTATACATGCAATGTCATGGAGGTCAAGGGGCTACAGTCCGGCGTCCTCTCCCAATGCTTTCCAGTCCGTCACGTCATGGCTTTTGATCCTATGGCCTCATCGTCGCTAACCTTCTCACTGCAGGCCCTCCTCCATCGCCATGAGTCCTACATCGCCGAGGCAGAAGAGGACCGTCGCCGGTTACTCGACAGCATCGACGCCCTCGAGCGCGAGCGTCGACAAGTCCAGACTGAAAATGCGCGCATGATCCAGGAGAACAGGAGTCTGGTCGAGCAGCTCGATGCGTTGAATAATACCGTCGCTGATTCCGACGCGCATGTTAACTCGTTGGCTGTTGCGTTGGAGAACACCGAGGCTGAGCTGCGTACTGTTAGTGCTAGTGCTGCGCGGGCGGCGGAGCTGGAGGCTCAACTTAATCGCATGGAAATTGAGCAGTCAAGGTTGCAGGATAGTTTGATGTCTGCGCGTGAGGATGAGAAGTCTGCTTCGACGCGGTGGAAGAAGGCTGATTCGACAATGCGCGAGCTACATGAGCAGGTTGAGCGGTTGGAGAAGGAGGCGCGCGAGGGGCGAGAGAGTCATGCGGATCTTGTCCAACGTATGGAGCGGCAGAGAACTGTTGAGCGGGAGCTGGATGGTGCGGCTGGACGGTTGAAGGGTGCTGCTCCAGTGCACCAACATGTTGGCCGCCAGCCTCATCAGACCAGTGTTGTTTCGCGCTTTGTTAGGGATATCTTGCAGGACAATGCGAATCTGCAGATTGGGGTCATGGAGCTGCGGGATATGCTCGAGAGTTCGAATCAGGAGGTGCAGAACTTGCGCGACCAGGTTCTGTCGCATCACCCGCTAAACCATGACGAGGGAGATGGAGAGGAACGCAGACCGTCGTCTGAATCCCAGCCGGCAGTAGGCAAGAGACTGAGCCAGGAGTTGGACGGACCTCGTGTATCGCCAGAGTACCACATCCATCATCACTATCACCCGCCGTCGTCGACACCAAAGAAGGAGAAGCCGAAGCTGAGCCGTCGATTGACAAAGAAGAGACGTTCGCTGGGCAATCCGGCCTTGATGCATTCGGCCCGTCAACCGTCTGTCTCCTCCACATCGACGATCCTCTCTCAGACCTCTGTTTCTATTCCTCCGTCATCGCATCGTTGGTCCGCGCATTCGTCTGCTACAGAGTCGCTGGCAAGCTCCCCGACTTCAGGATGCCACAACCGTCCAACATCCATCTTTGACCGGATGGAGCGAGGATTCGATTCATCCCAGCCAACAAGTCCAGAGTTATCTCCTATGTTCAAGGGGGTAGCTCGACAGGGCAGGACTCTCGATCTCCCGTTCAGAGAAGACTCATTTGGCCGCGCTATCGAGGATGAACTTGCGAATCTGGATGCCCTGAATGACCACTGCACAACCGTTCCCGCAATCCCAGAAGAGGGAGAAGACTATTTGCAAGAGAACGGTAACCAACGACCCGTAACGCCCGACATGTACCTTCGCCGTCGACGCGGTTCTCACGATAGCTTCCTATCCGTGGCAGGCATGGACATTCACACGCCCAGTCGTCGACGCTCTCGCACGGGCGGACCGGGACCAATACCCATTGCTGGAATCCATCGTCGCAACTTCTCGTCCGGCGAAGTATACTCGACGCCGCCGGTGATCGCGACGACAACTGTCACGGCCGATCGAGAGGCCCCGTCTAAGAACCCGCACTCCCCGCGCAGCCTGTTGGCATCTGTCTGTCGAAGCCAGGGCCAGTCCCAGGAGACAGAAAACACACCAGCAGCGCGCACCTCACCATCACGCAAGCCATCAATTACCCGACGAGTCGGCGGCTGGGTACGAGGACGCTGGGGAACAGCACCTGTGGCTGCACCTGCACCTCGGCCATCTGAAACTGCATCCCAAACACAGCCACCAAGCTCATCACCAGCCGTGGATGCGCTCACCAGGAACCAGAATAAGGCTAAGGCGGAGCATGTACCTGCGCCTGACGCTGCGTTCCGGTTCCGGCATCCTGGCGTCAACCAAAAGGGCCCGATTATGGGGTTTCGGCCGTCGCCTCATCCGCCTATCTCTGTGCATGCGGAGGCTGTGGATGAGGGGGCGTTGAGGGAGAGTTTGGCCGAGTAGCTTCTCTTCTCTCTTTCTTTTTATGCGTGCTCATCTGTACTTTGACTGTATTCTTGTGCTCTGACCTGTACTAAATTCCGGGCGACTGACGATTTTCCTTTGTTTATATGTATACGACTGTACCGATACCATCTATATAGACACACATTTGCATCCTGTCAATGCAATAGCAATTCGATATCCTCCATTTAAATCAAACAAACTCATCCTGCAGAACCCCACGTGACCCCTCCCCATCAACCATCACATCCCTTCCCAAAACACTCTAGCCATAGTATCCGAGCACATCTCACCCAACCCAGTTGATTGGTTCTGTTTGGTATTTCCGTACTGCAGGATCGCGCTAAGCCTCAGGCTAATCTCGCCGCGCTCCAATTAGAAAGGCATGCTAGTCCGCAAACCACACGATGGCTGGGGCGTGGCTGATTTTGCGCTACCCGGAGGGACTGAGCCGGAGTGCTGTGCAGGGTTGGTTTGATTTTGGGTTGAGTCTGATGGAGGTGTGAGGAATTTATGATCTTGGTTTCTTACTCTCTTTTTGTTCGTTTTTTCTGTATGTATATGTACGGTGGTGTCTATCTGGATTGAGTTGAATTGAATTGAATATCAGGGGCTACGAAGATAACGAAATCACGATGGAACTCAAAATGACTCACCTCGCTACTCTCCTATTATTCCTCTCTCCTCTTCTTTCCACAACCGCTGCTCTCGACTGCTTCTCGCATAATGGTACCACCCTTCCCCCTTCCCTCACCACCATCCACCCTAATCACCAAAATATACTGACATTAACAACAACAGGCGTCAACGCAAACTCCTCCCAATTCTACGACTCCGCCCGCGACGGATCCCTAATCGCCTGCGGCACAGGCGCCACAACCTGCTGTCTGGAGAGCGAGTACTGCGACGTCGATCTACTTTGCCATTCGCGTAGTAATGGCGGGTATTCGAGGCAGTATTGTTCGGATCCGGATTGGCCGGAGGATGCTTGTTCGCAGCTTTGTCCGAGTACGTTTTTTTTTTTTTTTTTCTCCCTGTGCGCAGATTGCGTTTGCATATATGCAAGAGTGTTTTGTATAGGTCTGTGGGGAAAGGCTAATAATGCGATGTACAGGCTACGGCGCAGCCGGAATCTCATTGACAGCATGCGACTCCGCCGGGACGAAATTCTGCTGCGGCCCCAACGCAGACGACTGCTGCAAAGCCGGGAACTACACACAAATCGACAAGAGTAACGGCCAAATCGTGGCTATTGGAACTAGTACGATCCCTACGAGTAGTACCTCAGCTACACCTTCTTCGTCCGCGAATGCGACTACGAGTAGCAGCGCGTCTGCGACGACGACTGCTGCTGATGCGAATGCGGACGCGGATAGCGGGGATGGTCTGACTGAGGAGTCGAAACTTGGTATTGGGTTGGGTGTTGGACTGGGTGTTCCGTTTTTTATCGCTGCTGGTGTGGCGCTGTTTCTTTGGAGGAGGTCGCTTGCGAAGGGTGCTGGTGGTGGTGGTGGTGGTGGTGGCGCGGAGAAGAATTCCGGTGTTGGGGGTGCTGGTGCGGATCCTAATGCCGGTGCGCCGTATGAAGTTGCTGGTTCTGCTGCGCCGCCGTATGGATATGGGTATGCGGAGCAGGGACAGTGGCAAGCACGGACACAGGCACCGGGGCAGGAACAAGGGCATGATGTTACTGGGAACCGGAGTAAAAATGTGCATCAGCTTGAGGCTAATGAGGCCCGCGCGGAGTTGGATGCTGCGAGGGTTCATGAGATGGAGTAGTTGCCTTTGCTCGGGGTAGAATACACTGAGCTAATCGCATAATAAGCTAGAGCAATCATCTAAGCATCACTCATAATGTTATCACTTCTGTAGATAGGGCTACCGGCGGATACTGAACATTTTTATCGGGATTGAGGTTGAATGGAAGAATCCTGTTTGCTGGTCTTCTGGTGGTGATTCGAAGGGTATCCGTTCGACTTTGAAGTTGTTCGTTTCTGGTCACTTATTAGCATACCTGAATCAACGGTAGAGAAAGGAAAGGACGTACGACAAGCATCCAAAAACGCCTGGAAAGTCTCTTCATTCCTCAGCGTAGCGGAGATGATGAATTGCTGGAGATTGTATCTCTCAAAGAGCGTGGTTAGGGTTGATTGAAGGAGCGGGATGAGATCTTTGTCGTATATCTACCCAACCATTAGCAACGACACTCCTCAAAGATCCATAAATAAACCAGGGCAAAGAAAACATACCAAATCCGCCCCAAGCGCAACATCAAACCCCTCCCCATCCACCCCATCAACAGCCATCTCATTCCCCCACTCCCAAATCCCCGGAACCAACACCCCCTCCCCAATCCTATTCCTCCCCACACAATCCCCTATACTCTCAATAAGTGCCTGTTCGCGATCCGTCGCAACAACCTTCTTCGGACTGAGATATTTTGCACAGAGAAGTGATACGAAGCCCGTCCCTGCGCCTAGTTCCAGGACCCGTTTCCCTTTGATGAGTTTGTCTGCGATGGGTGGTGAGGAGAGGTATGTGCCTAGGTGGAGGGCTGCTTCCCAGGTGCGGAAACCCGTTGTGCCGGAGGAGAGGATTAGGCCGCGGGATTCGGATGTTATGACTGTTCGAGCCTCTTGGTTGGGGTCTGACTGGGCTGGTGTTGGGGCAGTGTATTTGATATACCCCAATTGCTGCGCCTGCTGAATCTGCGAGGGCTTCGGGAGCGTAATCAAATTCCCCCATGTTTCTACCAGCTCGTCCATGATTTCCTACAATACGTCACGTCAACTACACTACTTCATTCCATCCCATTCAATCCCCTCGGGGGTAAAACGCTTACATCCTCCTCCGGATCCCTAATCGCCTCCTCCAACCTCCCCAAAATCATCTTCAACACCCTCATGCGGTACCCCACCGGCGGTAACGGCCATGCCTGCGGATTATCTTCGTTGAACATGCGCTCGTAGATGGTGGATTGGGTTGTAGGGTCGAGGAGGGTGCTGCCGGAGGGGAGGGGGAGTTGGGGCGCGGGGACTTGTTGGTTGTATTGCGCGATTAGGGTGGGTATTGTGGTGACCATTTTGGTTGTGGTGGTGTTGTTTGGGTGGTCGAGGGGTTGAGGGTGGTGGGTTGGATAACTTTTTGGGATGGAAAAAGTCCGGGGAGGGATGTGGATGGGCGGGGGAATGTATTTCCGGTCAGGTACCGCTTAGTGAGGTGCTTGTCTGCGATAGTTAACTAAACTATGTCCAGTTCCCCTCCTTCTCTTCTTTTGCTCTGCTGTTTTCTTTTGGTGGCCTGATGAGTCCAATGCCTGCTCACTCGGGCGTTGATCGACAGACATTACGAGTGCTGGAGACTTAACGGAGAAGCCATATTCGGAACTATGGAACGGAGCTGAAGGTTAAGGTTCCGCTCTACTACTGAAACCGATGCCATAAAAGAATAGTATGTGCAATTGTATATATGAATCTGAAAATCAATTTGATCACGCGATCACAGAGAATCCGTTTAAATGGGCTGTGCTAACGTGCATAAGATACTCCTCATCATACCGTGATTCCCCCGCTTGTCTACTCAGACAACTCAGACAACATGGATGTGTCGAGCTTGACTGCAGCGACACGGAACTTGTATCTGGGAGAGCCGGAATGCCTGCCATTTTGTCCTCAAGAGGAAAATATCATTAATCGCCAAGCTCTCGGGAAATATCCCCCGTTTTCTCTTCCGTGTTGCGACTCCCAAGTCTCGTGGGGAGAATCACGAAACATGGATGCGTTCAAACGCAGCCATCAGGAACTCGTCGATCTGTCGAGAAGATGTCTTCTTCAAACGGACTCCCGGCGTGACTTCCGTTAAAAAGAAAGTTATCGCTCAATAAGCATGTCCGGTAGTGACAGATGGGCGACCTGGAAGATAATTTTGTCTCTTGGACCAGCTCGTTGCTTTTTTGCGCTCTTATACATCTATAACCGGCACCAGAGCGTGAGAGATGGGTCGGACTTGGAGGACATTAAACTATATGTTATAGACACGACATTCCCCCTTCCCCCCCCACAAACGTTTATACGCGATCTGGACTTGATGAATCACTTCCGCAAATTCGACACTGAGCCCGTTCACTCTGGCTTGGAAGGCATGTGGAGATTGCGGTTTCAGTCAGATGATTATTACTTCGGAGAGTACTTCTCGCGGGGGTCTTTGAAGATAGCCAACAAGTGTCAAGTCGTCTCGGCAGAGTTATTTTTTCGGGGGGGGGGGGATAGACTGCTATTCTTGCTACCCAACCTGGCAGATATTGACAGCAATCAACGGTATGTCGAAAGACCGGGCTGGGCCAACGATGTGTGTATGCTTCGCAGTATTATTTGGCCTAACGAAAGGTCATTCAAAACCATCTCGGGGGGAACACGCCTTCAGATATGACTCGACAGAAGTGTTGAGTGAACATATTGCTCGGAGAATGAAGCAGTCGCCCGTGCAGTTAACCATAGGTGAACTCATAGAATTATTTCAAAGCCAGGCTATATTGGGATTTAATTGGAAAATCCAGGAAGCAATATCGAGGCTTGACATGACAGAAGGGCTTGCCGGACATACGGCTCGGAAAATCAAGCGAAGGCCTATTCAGTTAACCATGGGCGAAGTCCTGGGACTAATCCATGGCCGAGCTAACCCACGGGTTAGGACTGTCCAAGATGACAAGACAGGCATCCTGTGTGATCACATTTGTTAGAGAATGGGGGAGCCCTTTGAAATGAAAATTGGCGAAATCATAGAATTATGGCATCGCGGAGCTGTACAATCTCCTTACTTTGATAGCCTTGTTTCAAACGTTCACATGATACTTGGTGAGATTCAAAATAGAATGTTTTTCTCGTAGTCGCACGAGCTATGAATATCACTGCTATAAGCACAAGCGCATGTATTCCCTAGGAATTATGCAAAACATAGAAGCCAAGATGGGGCTGAACTACGGAGCGGAATTTCTGCCTCAGGCCTCAAGAGGAATCACGTGCACGCTAACCAAAGGTGGTTAGCAGATGCCCTAGCCGAGCCCACAGCAGTGCACAACGAATATTCGTTCTATCGCAATCCGGCTGGCTTCGAAAATCGACAGCGAACTTCGACAACCCCCGCGGCCGCCAACAACTTTCCCTTTTTCCTTCGTCACTTGTCGACAGATTTCTCGCTGTCAATCACAGAAATCGACAACCATGGCCGACGCTCCCGTTACCCTGCGGACGCGCAAGTTCATCCGCAACCCTCTGCTTGCCCGGAGACAGATGGTCGTGTAAGGCTCTCTTTCTCCTGCTTTTATCGCTTTTTCGGTGTTTTATCGATTTGGGTGGTTATTGGAATGACATGTGGATATTTTGTTCGATGTTTTTTTCGATGGAAATGCCGTCAAACTTGCAAGAGGGGGGGGGGAGATTCTTTATCACAGGGGGATGGATGATCAGGAAGGCAAAATTCATCAAACTAATAATCCTCTCTAGTGACGTCCTCCACCCCAACCGTGCCAACGTCTCCAAGGATGAGCTCCGCGACAAGCTCTCCGGTCTCTACAAGGCCAACAAGGACGAGGTCTCCGTCTTCGGCTTCCGCACGCAATACGGTGGTGGCAAGAGCACCGGCTTCGCCCTGGTCTACGACTCCACTGAGGCCCTGAAGAAGTTCGAGCCTCACCACCGTCTCGTCCGCATCGGTGCCGCTACCAAGATCGAGAAGGCCTCCAGACAGCAGCGTATGTTTACCCCGGGATTTGAGAAGGAGGACTACGGATAGCCAGGACTGGGCCGGACCAAGGCTAATACTTATTCTCGACAACAGGCAAGCAACGAAAGAACCGTTCCAAGAAGTTCCGCGGTACCGCCAAGACCAAGGGCCCCAAGAAGAGCAAGGACTAAATGTAATCGCCAACGGACGCTTTCTGGTGATAGTGCTGCTGGTGATTATGGGCGGGGGTTTACTGTGATTATAGGGATTAGGGAATTTGGAAAATGGAAATGGACAACCTTTTTTCTCGTTTCTTCGCGCATTACGGTTTGCACTTGCACACACAAAAAAGGGAAATTTTTTTTAAAAGGAAATGGAATGCGGCTTTTCCCGGGGGGAACTGTTGATGACCCTGCTGCTTTGAAACCCTGTGGTTTTTTTTTTTTTTAATTCGAGGTGGTATTTTGTGTTTGCAAGATGACTTACTTGTTCCACACCCATATTTTATCCTCATGACCGTGGTGATAACAGGGAAAGAATATTATGATGCTCTACTTATTTCATTTCCTTTTTTTTTTTTTTTTTTTTTGCGCGAGTTCTCATACAAGGTATCAGTTCATTCCCCATTTTCCCCAGTTCAGTCCAGTCCAGATTCTCTTATCACCAGCAACAACACTACGGAGTGCTACTATCCGGCACCGGCACCGGCACACCCTCCCCCGATGCACAAGCACAAACCCAAGCCCATACCATAACACAGCAGCAACGATTACAATTTCCCGGTTTTCCCCGTTGACGCTGAGCTACCTCTTCCAATTTAGTACATACATACATACATACATAGCACACCGCGGTACGGCTAGACCGGACGGTGAAACCGCCGACGAATGGTAGTACTGCATTTCCAACGTCGTAGATCATGATTCATGGGTGTTCTGTCGTTTTGGTGAGGTGGGGTGGGGTGGGTGGTTGGGATTTGGATTAGTTGTGTTACGGTTGTTTTTGGTTACTGGTTTAGTTACTTTTAATGGTTTACTAAGTTATGGGATTTATAAAACTAGGTGTCGTTTGTAGACGACTATACGGTGTGGTTAGCGTTTACTAATAACAAACGGAAGAGGGATAATTGGGTTGTTTACTTGTATGGCCTTTAATTCGATAGACAAACAAAGAAAAAGAATAAGCGCCACCCATCCATGAATCACATAATTAGTTACCCCCTGGGGCGTCGAATAGCAAACCACATAGCCACCCAACTCGAAGCCAAACAACCGAACCAGATTACATATGAAAGTAAAGTAGACGTAAACGAACAAATGAAAGGACAAAAGAAACCGCCCATAGAAAACCACCTCCCAATAAACATAAACACAAAACAAAGGAAAAGAAAACAAATTCTAAGTAGCCCTGGGCCCGGACGAACTCAATAACCCTGAAGAGCCCGCTGCATCTCCGGGTGATAATCCGTCATAACATCCGGCGTCATCAGATTGAACTGTAGTCCGGACTGGACATGAGCATCGACCTGCTTCACAGGCGAATACGGCAACCCATTAACCAGCGGAGTTGCTGAGGAGTCGCTCGCTTCGGAATGGGTCCTGCCGCGCTCACTGCCGCTGTTGCTGCCGTTGCTGCTGTAGTGGTAGCTGTCCGACGGGCTGTAGTCACTGTTGGTGCCGATGGATAGTAGACGGCCGTTGCTGTCTCGTGAGAAGGTTCTCATGAATTGGGTGTCGGGTGGTGTTTGGAAGTCGCCTGCCGTTGCAGGGTCGAGAGCTGGATATGTGCCGTTAGGGATAGTGGTTGTGTCTTGCGAGGGAATCGTCGGGATGTAGCCTAGGACCATGTCTTGGGTGCCTGGGTCTGGTTTGATGTGATTTTCTGGGCTTGCGGAGAAGGGTTCGTTCGTGATGCTTTGCATCGAGCCACGGTGAGCTGTTGCATCGCATTTTTGCTCCCAAGGACTTCCGCTGGCCCTGTATTCTGGGGGGTAAGGCAGTCCAGAAGTAACCTCAGGCGAAGGTGTCATCAGTTGCGGCTGTGACGTAGGATTTGGAATGTTTCGATGGGTTCCCTGTCCTGCGAGCATGTAGGAATAGGCTGATTGGATCAGGGGATTCTCTGTTCCTTGATCCGGGAAACCCGCCTCGTTCGGATTCCATCCTCTCGGGTTCCAGGTTAGACCGTAGTAATCGTTCCAAACGCCTTGCGGTGTACTAGGCAGCACGTGCGCGGCAGCTTGACCGTTGTATACTGCAGCAGATGGATCCTCGTAGCTGACACCATGCTCGACGCCGTATGGCTGCCGAGGAAACACAGAATGCGTGTCAACTGGCCCCATGTAGTAGTTTGGTGACCGTGAATACGGCAAGTACCGTACGTTGGACACTGCAGCCGGTTTCTGGTGCATTTGAGCATACATGTTGACGTTGGATGGCGAAGGGTTCGTAGAACCACCCACGGCAGGACAATGCATTGATTTGACCTTTGCAAAAGGGGTCCAGGTTAGCTTTTGCCGCCCGTGAGGAACGAGCAAATCAACTCACCCTCAAGAAATGGCATCTCGTTTCTTCGCCTGCGTTTCGACAGTTCGTGCAAGCCTGTCCGTCCTCGTTTTCGCCACTGCATTTGATCTTTCGCTGTCGGCATCGGGCACACTGGTAACATTGTGAGCTTCACTTTACGATATGCTTCCCATTCTAGATGTTCTACTTACTGCAAGTCGACTACGGCGTTTGTTCGGGTCCTTGTTATCTCTTTCTCGAGAAGGGCTGACACGAGCGGTGCTTTGCTTCATGACGTCCCGTTGCTGCCCATGGCGAGTGGAGCGCCGTGCCGATGGGAGGTGTTCTTTTTTGATATTTTGATGATGAAGGCTGACCCTCTCGTCTGGGGGCAAGAGCTGGTGAGCCATAACTTCGTTCAGTGGTCCAGTAGACGCAATCATGTCCCTCATCCTGAGAGTTTCATACAAGACACGGAGAATTTAGATATAAAAAGTAAATATGACAACGATACTTGTCAGGAAAGTGAGATGTAGAGAAGAATAAGAAGAAGAAGAAGAGAAGAAAGAAAAGTGGGTTATGGGGTTATGAATAACATGCCTCGTGGATCCTGCAAGCATTAAAAGGAGTCCCGGGGTTAATGTAGATGCAAAGATTTGAGCCCATGAGAGTCTAGTATGGACTGGATTAATTCACGCTGATTGTCGATTGTCATTCTTTTTTTTCTTTTTTCTTTTTTCTTTTTTTTTTTTATAAATCCCAGGTGGCATCAGACCAGGGCTGCTCAGACTCCACATCATAACCCCATCTGGAATTCCCCCTCAAAACCGGTAAAGTCACTAGTGTATTTTCATACATACAAAAAGAGTGTGATCAGTTTGATACTGCCAGTCATTCCCTGCTGCACCGTCGTACCAGGGGGGTAAGAAAAGCAAGTATGCAGAATCCCGTGTCGCATCTCATATTCCCAGATCATGTAGTTACGGAGAAAGGTTGGAATACCCGACATGGTGCTGGCGGCAGGCTAGACATCCAGAATATCCCGGAATTTTGAGAGGACTTGTTTCACACGAGTAACGTCGTACTGCTTTGCAAGTGACCTGATAATCTTAAGCGGCGTGCAATCGTCCAAAACTGGAACAATTGAAGCTCTTCGCAAAACACTTTTTAGACCAGTCATGATGGAGAAAAAGGCTCCACTGTGTTTGCTGTTTCTTTGACCGTCTTGTTCTCGCGATTAGGGATATCCTTCGTTTTTTCGCAGTAAAAAGATCTGCCATTACTGTCCAGGTCAAGTTCCAGATGCTGTTCGTCGCTACAAAGAAGGCCGCCACCGACTACGTTTGCATGAGTTCTCAAAATGCATGCATTGATTAGCCACATCCGTGGTGAAATAAACGCAGAAGGTACGATGTTTGTCTTGTTTCTAGGGCGATCCATTGGCTTGACAGCTGCAATTCCTAGTTTAGCATCAAACAGACAGGGACCCGCCATTTAGTCACGGCCGGAACCTTTTGAGCGTGCATCCCGCTAAGCAGGCGACAATGTCGGGCGTTCGTGAACCCTATCAGGGCGATCAAGAATTATTCGACGATGGACAGGAATGGAAGGGGGCCGGGGGGGGGGGGGGGGGGAAAAAACGGAAAGGTACCATACAATCGGGTCTTCCTCCCCTAAAACCTCTAAAAGAGAACCGGGCAAACGAAGTTTCCAAGAGAGCCATTTTGATGTTTCGGAACGTTTGGAAATCTCGTCGCAACAGGGCGGTCTTCCTAGTTCGCGATCAGGTCACCAACTAGTCCCACCGACGCGCAGATGAATCAAGTCCATAACAGAATCAGTTAAGACACCTTTGACAGGAATGGACGAGTCATGTTGAGAGTATTGCGTCTCGAGCCTAGTAGTTACATATCCAAAGCTGGGCCGACACATACAGGGCAAAATAACAATTAGCGAAAGAGAAAAAAGAAAAGAAGATGGACTGGCACAAAGAAGACACGAGTATAGAATAGTATCCATATCATATAGTATCCATATCATATTATCATAAATTGAGCAAATCGGAAGACAGCCGCCGGACAGAATAAGTTTATCTGTATGCAGTCCAGGGATTTGTGGGATAAGACCCTGTTGGTAAGATGAATGACCTGCCATCGAAATAGGTTATGGTGTCCTGCATTGCAATTGATCATAATTGAGACCATTTGGTCTCAGGTTTAACTCTATGGGAATGTCCCCAGTCGAGCAGAGAGTGTGAGAATGCAGTATACTCCGAACAGAATTATACAAAAACCGAGAAAAATCTGAATCCGTGTCTTGTACTCAACAGCCAAAACAACAGCCAAGCGTTTTCAATCGAATTCCAAATTCACAAAATCATATACTATAATCATATTTGTAAACGCCAATTCCAAAAATACAGTAATAGTGAGGTTTAGGGAATGGTCGAATCCCCAGCAAGTCGAATGGTGCAACCTATCGACCGACAATGCGTCTGATGCTCACTCAAGAAAAGAAAAAGAAAAGAAAAAGAAAAGAATAGCGAGAAAGAGAAATGATATTCAATGCAGTCCACAAAGTAACGATAGCAATGGCCAGATGCAATTGTCGTTGGTAATAGGGCCAGCCACAGGATGTCAGTGCGACTTACCTGTCACTTTACAACTCCGATAATTCTCCTCGGACTGTCGAAATAGAACGTCAAAGCGAACATACCGCATACAAAACTGGAAACACCTCCACGTGTCTTCTATATCCGGATAGTGTTGGTACGTGGTATGTATGGGGCGTACTGCGCCGCAGACGTTGGGGCATGTTGCAAAAGGGAAACCGAAACCGTTTAATTGCAACACCTTTGCTGTGGAACTCATTGACGAGCAAAGGGAGATATCCAAGTTGCACACCCGGTCTTTCTTTCGGCGCGTATCCCAATTCTGTAATTGAGGTTGCAATAGGAGAATTTGTTTCGCACAATGGGTTGAACGGTGCAGGGTCAACATAGGCAACCGATTGACGTCGATCTTCTTTCTTCCCTTCTAAACCTTATCAGAGAGTCTTTGTTCGATAAACTCTGTAGTCCGAATTGTGTACGGAGTACAAGTACTTGTACGGTGTACGGACTATTGTAGGGACTGGATACGATCAAAAGAATCCCAGAGCGTGCATTCGCTTGATCCTCGACCCTGGTCCTAGCCGAAAAATAGTCCCGTGCGCGGTGCTGCATATCCACCAAACACGTTCACTTTCCGTCCAGAAGTACGGCGAAAATAAGTACAGAGTAATCGTACTTTGGATAACCCCCAGTCGACTCATGCCGTCGAATTGAGAAGAATACCGTTACACCGGAGCCTTCGGGACGGCCCTCCGGAGTTTAAGTGCTTCTGACATGAGCAAGAAGAGCCAAATCAATCCCTGTCCCTGCCTTACGTCGTGAGCATGTGCATCTGTCCGGGCCATAATATAATTCTTGCTGTAATTCCCGGGGTGATGGTGGTTTGGTTACTGGGAGCAGCAGTTAAGGGCAGAGCGCGGAGAGATCATGGTAGATCCCGGGAGCCGCTCAGTCAGACCGCAGAATGGACGCGCGCGTGTCCTAAAGCGGTAACGGGGCAGAAAAGCATCATCGCCGTCATTAGTTATTGGCATCTTAACCAACCGCAACACGCAACTCGCGTATCTGAACATACACCCATGCTAGTAGTGTCTTAGTTGTACCTCTACGACGAGACCTGTCTGCGAACTATTTCTAATTCTTTAATTCTTTTTTTTTTTTTTTTTTCTGGTTGGACGAGAACGCGCTGTTAATCCTCGCACCTGCGCCGGGCATTCGCCATGAGTGTACTCCTAGAGACTTCGCTTGGTGATATTGTCATTGACCTTTTGGTTGATGAGTCTCCAAAGGCGTGCGAAAAGTAAGTCAAATTCCCTTTTCTACCTTCTGTTTTTGCGTGGTTGTCTTGTCGAGTGGCTGAACGGAAACTAACAGCTCCCCGTTCTCTACCGCTGCAGCTTCTTAAAGCTATGTAAAGTCAAATACTACAACTTTTCTCCCGTACATAACGTCCAGAAGAACTTTTCCCTCCAAACCGGTGACCCTATCGGACCCGATTCCCCAGAGAGCGATGGCGGCTCCTCAATATGGGGTCTGTTGGAAGGCCCGTCGAAGCGAACATTCCCTCTCGAGCTCCCGAAGCTGAAGCATCTTGAACGAGGTACTGTGAGCATGGCGACGGTTCCCGCTTCGCACGATCCGGATCAGCGTCTGGCAGCTAGTCAATTCCTTATTACACTCGGCGATAACCTGGACTACTTGGATGGGAAGGCAGCCATATTTGGAAAGGTGGTGGAAGGATTCGATGTTCTGGAGAAGGCCAATGAGGCATTTACCGATGACCGGGGTCGACCTCTTAAGGATATTCGTATCCGTCATACGGCCGTCCTAGACGATCCATACGATGATCCATCAGGATTGGTAGAGCCACCTGAGAGTCCGTTACCGACCAAGGCCCAATTGGATACCGTTAGGATTGCCGATGATGAGGATCTGGATGATGACATGGATGAGGAGGCAATGGAGACACTGCGGCGGGAGCGGGAGGCGAGAGCACAGGCATTGACTTTAGAAATGGTTGGAGATCTTCCATTCGCAGAAGTCAAGCCGCCTGAGAATGTTCTGTTCGTCTGCAAGCTAAATCCGGTCACGCAGGGTACGTGCACTTTCATCTTCATATGCTCATACTTGGTATTAACACTATTTAGACGAGGACCTTCATTTGATTTTCAGTCGATTTGGGCAAATTCTATCCTGCGAGATCATCCGAGACAAGCGTACTGGTGACAGTCTGCAGTACGGTTTTATCGAATTCGAAAACCAGAAGGATTGCGAGCAGGCATATTTCAAGATGCAGGGCGTTTTGATTGACGACCATCGCATCCACGTGGATTTCTCTCAAAGTGTAAGCTTTTACCATAATGTTTTTCTTTGCTGCAGTCATCTAACTAGCAATAGGTGTCGAAGCTGTCAGAAAGCTGGCGGAATGCCACCATCACTAAGCGTGGAGGCCCACGGGGCGGCTTTGGTGGTGTAGCTGAGCTTGAAAGGAAACGCCAGTACAGGGCATCCCCCGAAATCGACCTCAAAGACGACGATGACGACCGTTACAATATGATGTTTGACAAACGTGAGGCTGCCCGGCGGCGACCTGCCTCCCGTGAGCGTTCATTGAGTCGAAGCCCGCGAAGAAGCTCTCAACGAGACCGCAGAGTCAGTCCGAGTCCGAAACGAGGAGGTTCACACCGGGATCGCTACCGCGATCGGTCGTACAGCCGGAGTCCACGACGAGGGGACTCTCGCCGTGATAATAGATACCGGGGTCGAGACAGATATGATGATGAGCGACAAGGACGTGATCGTCGCGATGATGATCGCCACCGAGAAAGGCGACGTCGTTAGACTGCTTCTTTGAACGTATTGTTCTTGGGCGTGATGGAGTTTACTATCCATAACACACAATATATAGTTCAGTGTATGTAAAACCAAATTCTTTCTGCTACGATGAAGGTGCGACATTAGATGGTCCATACCGACAATCCAATAGAGTGCATTACTAGTCGGTATGTTCATGTACCATTGCGCAAAAAATACGCTTGACTGAGCAATTTGACCAGCTGTAAATCATCTGTATGACATTGTCTGCATAACTCTTCAGTTACATACATCCATCCCACGGCAATTGCTGTGTTGGCCTCGAATTGTTGGCGAAGCCCCAAACCTCACTTTATGCCCCGCCACAGCAAGAGAGACATCCGCTGGCTGTTGGCCACTCACAGTCCGCGATGCCAGACATGGTCCCAGTCAAAGTGTAGTAGTAATGGTTGGTCTAAAAATGGTATGGAAATTACTACTATTTTTGCCTTCAGCCAAGGAGCGGTCTTTCTTTGTGGCGGTCAATGTTTTCTCTGCTACCGTTAGTACTACTAGTGCAAGTATAGAGGACAGCTCCACGCCCCGCGGTCCCCGATCAGTTAACTCCCCTCTGTTTCTTCCTCTCCCCTTCCTTCAATTCATCCTCCCTTCTTCTTCCTTTCCTTTCCATCTATCCTCCTCTCTTTTTCCATAGTACTATCACCTTCCTATCATCAAAATGGCTGCCGCTATCAAAGAGACGGTCTCCAACCTCGTGGGCAAGTTCCAACCCCACGCCGAACCCGCCCTTCCTGAACCCTCGACTGAGGACTTCCAGAAGCTTCAGCAGAAATATAGCGAAGCCGGACAAGGCCAGGTGTTCGCTTTCGTCGATGAACTCCAGCCTACCGAGAAGACCCAGCTCTATCACCAACTGACCAATTTTGATCCCACCCGTGTCAACGAACTGGCTGAGAAGGCCCTGAGCCCTGCCGCCGCCCCCGAGGGCCCTCCTACCCTCGAGCCTCTTCCCGACGTGGCTCTGGCCTCGATCCTCGACTCGGATCCTAAGGATATCCAACAATGGTACAATGCAGGTCTCAAGGCGGTTTCGGAGAACAAGGTTGCGGTGGTTCTGATGGCCGGTGGTCAGGGTACTCGTCTGGGTAGCTCTGACCCCAAGGGTTGCTTTGACATTGATCTTCCTAGTCACAAGTCGCTTTTCCAGATCCAGGGTGAGCGGATTGCTAAACTGCAGCTGCTGGCTCAGAAGGTCTCGGGCAAGGAGGCGGTTATTCCTTGGTATGTTATGACCAGTGGACCGACTCGCAAGCCTACGGAGGAGTTCTTCCAGAAGAACAACTACTTTGGATTGTCTAAAGACAACGTGATTATCTTCGAACAGGGTGTTTTGCCTTGCATCTCCAACGAGGGTAAGATTCTGTTGGAGTCTAAGTCAAAGGTACATACCACTTCCCTTCAATTTTACCTGACTTTCGTGCTAATCACTTTGGTGTATAGGCTGCCGTCGCACCAGATGGAAATGGCGGTATCTACCAGGCTCTCGTCACCTCGGGAGTGCGGGAGAACATGCGTAACCGTGGCATCCAGCACATCCACACATACTGTGTTGACAACTGCCTGGTCAAGGTTGCAGACCCTGTCTTCATTGGTTTCGCTGCTGCGAAGGACGTCGATATTGCCACCAAGGTGGTGCGGAAGCGCAATGCCACTGAGTCTGTTGGTTTGATTCTGCAGAAGAACGGCAAGCCGGATGTCGTTGAGTACTCTGAGATTGACCAGGAGACTGCCGAGGCCAAGGACCCCAAGCAGCCTGATGTGCTGAAGTTCCGGGCTGCCAACATCGTCAACCACTACTACTCCTTCCGTTTCCTGGAGTCGATCGAGACCTGGTCTCACAAGCTGCCTCACCACGTTGCCCGCAAGAAGATCCCTTGCATCAAGCCCGAGAATGGCGAGGTCTTCAAGCCTGAGAAGCCCAACGGTATCAAGTTGGAGCAGTTCGTCTTTGACGTCTTCCCTCTGACCCCTCTTGACAAGTTCGCTTCCATTGAGGTCCGCCGTGAGGACGAGTTCTCGCCTCTGAAGAACGCCAAGGGCACCGGTGAAGACGACCCGGACACCAGCAAGCGAGACATTATGGAGCTGGGTAAGCGATGGATCGAGAAGGCCGGTGGTGTTGTTGTCACTGAGGGCCAGTCTGTTGGTGTTGAGGTTTCTCCCTTGATCAGCTATGTAAGTTTCTTCCCTGTCCCTTGTTTTGATCACTTCGCTAACGGTTGATGTCCAGGGTGGTGAAGGACTTGAATTCCTCAAGGGCCGGGAGATCAAAGCTCCGGCTGTTGTCGAAAAGGAGGCGTAAGAGTATTAACATAAGCCTTTTGTCGGCACGCATTAGGTATATAATTTTAATGCATTAGCACGACCATGAAAGAGATACTGTGTCTACGGAGGAAGTGATGTTGTTGCGAATAGGAAGCATATTATACCCGTGTTATTAATATCAATGTCCTGGTTAGCTCTTTATCGTAGCATCTACCAAGCTTAGTACTCCGTAGTCTGGCGTAGTTATACAACAGACATGCATGCCTCAGGCTACCTGTCAGGAATCTGGGCCACTGCAGCCTTTACGCAATACGGAAAAGCCCGGAAGCTAAACTGAGGAAGTTTTTTTTTTTTTGCATAGCGATTGGGCCCTGATGGAGAAAGGGCTATTTTTTCCCTTCACCACCATCATAAATTTACTGCAAATTTTCCTCGGGAAATACCTCTTCGTTCATATTTTTTTTTTTTTTTTTTTTTTTTTTTTTTTTTTTCTGTCAGCCCACTTTTTTTTTTT